CAAACAAATAAACACGCAGCTGGCCAAAATACGAGAGCAAAATGGCAAGGCAAAATCCGGCCACTTGACACTTTGTTTGTTTGCTTGACTGTTTGTGTTTTCATTACCAATAAATGTTTGCCCATTGTTATCGAGCTGCGATCAGCGCCCCTGGAATCGCCGCACTTGGCGATGTCGCCTCGCTTTTCCAATGAAAACGCCAGTCCGAGTCGAGTCCAATTTTGGGCACTCACTTTCCTGCCGGCGCGTTTTCGCATCCGCTGGCCATATGAGCTGGGAAATTCGCCACACAGCTTGGCAGGCCGACATTTAGCCAAGGATGTTTTGCATTGCAATGGCAATTCATCAACACCAACAGATTTGTCATGCGGCAGACGCATAATTAAATACTTTCACCTGTGCGCCGGGCTATCAACTATGTATGTTGCCATATACATGTGTACACCTGCAAGCGCCGCAGATTTAGATGCAGATGCAGATGCAGATACATTTTACAACATTTTCATGGCCAACCCGAAGCTGGCGGAGCCAATGGACTAAAAATAGGCGCATTGCCTTTGCGAGAGAGACACATTTTCCTAATAGCCGCACTTCACGCACGCTCAAAGAGACATCAAAAGGCGAAAAAGTCAGGGACAGGTGACTTTTTCGCGAAAAAGTGGCCAGGAGCGGTGCGTGAAAATCGCAATTTTCCACCTCGGGCCTTGGCACTTGCGGTTTCTGTTCGGTTTCGGTTTTTATTAGCTCGTTTTTTTTTTGCCGACTTTCTGCGTGAGTGGTCTCAAAATATCGCCTCGAGTGGCTCATGTGTAAGTGATCCTGCCATATCTGAATTTACAGTGCCACTGCACTTAGTTGAAATCTTTTGTTGCTAGAAAATCATAGAAAAAACTTAAGCTTTCTCCATGGATTACATAAAATCAAATTAAAAGAAAAATGTATTAAAAAACATTATTTTTATTTATTTGTTCCCTTGGTCCTTTCCTTTCGACTTGTAAATAAAAAACATTCTCGCAAGAAGCTGTGAGTTTTTAGAACGTGTTTGAGGTCAGAAACGCTTTGAAGAAGCTGCAGCCTGCAGAGGCCCCATCCTTGAATGGGGTTTATTTAGACGCAGTGTTTACACTAAAATCGGAGGCCCAGCCCGCTGGCAGCTGTGTGCCTCGAGTGGTGGGCCCTCGTATCTTTCGGATTGCATACACAACATCTTCTTGGTTCCCTGTTATTTTTAAACAAAGTACATACACCCATCTAAAACTCTCTGCGTTGGCAGTGCATCCCATCTCGATGGGTGTTTATTTTCTGTGGCGCATTTGTTTGATGGCTTCGCCTTTGTGTATCTCACAGATACTCAAAGCGGCGAAAAGAAAATTGAACATTGTGTTTGACACGGCCCAACATTTGACACAAAAGCGCCGAGAGACGAGAGCCGAGAGATGCGGCAATGAACTCTGCTCAATGAAAGTGCAATTAAGCGCAGGCAATCGCTAATTACATTTATCGCTCAGATGTTAATTATGCTGCGGTGGGGAGGTATTTATGCAAGTTGTGTGTCTGGGATGGGCGACCGCCCCGAACTCTCGGGAGGTCAATGATATAACCGATGATTAACAGCCTCTCTTTCGTTCGTTTCTTTTTTTGCCTATCTGGCATCTCTGGCATTGCGGCTAAAGGTCAGGTCACCCATCTATCTTCGCAGCTCGTATCTCACATTGGTCATCTCTATACAGATACTTTATCTCGCAGTCTGCCGTAAATGTCTTTGTTTTGTTTGTTTTTCGCTTGTTTAGCTTATAACACGCCATAGACTACCCAGCTTGCAGCTGCTGTATTTTGAACGGGTTAAACTAGCTTATAAATCTGGCGAAATAGTAAAGCCAATTACTCACAGCCGGAGTAGAATGCAAATAGAGATAATGGGTAGAATGAAACGGAAAGTGGAGCGCTTATAATGCTTTGTAAACTGTTTTTGTTACTATCAAACCAAATATGAATATTTGGATTGGATTTGCATAGAGTGGAATGAAAAAATGGTTATTTTTAAGTGATTGTCATCAGCATATAAAAGTTCTTTGACCAATAAAGCTCTTAAGAATTCTCATGAGAACTATATTGAAAGGAGGTTTTTTGGAAAGATATTACCTCTTACTTTTCGCCTGGATTGAACAAACAGCTTTTCATATCCCTCAAATGCCTATCAATTTAATGAACATCAGCCAAATATTTGCATATTTATGTTCAATATTTGTAAAAACAATTTGGGTGCGGCCGAACATATTGAGAATGAGAATTCTTTGGCCGCCAGCAAATATTCATTTATTGGGCCGAAATTCGGCATGGCAAACAGCTTCGAGTTGTGGGCCAACTGGGTAAGAGCCACGAATTCAATACGGGGAAAAGTCGACGGCGCAACTAGTGAAAGCGCCAACTTCCAGTGAGCCAGCAACAACAGCTTGGATTGGTTTTCCTTAAGGCTCAAAAGACTTGGGGCCAACCAGCCTGCAATCATATTTCACCTTAGCCTGGCCAACAGTTTGCTGCACTTGTCGTAGTCGTAGTCGTGGTTGTTGTTGCTGCTGCGGTGGCTATAAAAATAACTGAACACTTGCCATTGCACACTTGGCCAAGTTTGGCAACTTTTGACGGCTGCTGCGGCAACCAGCGAACCAAACCAGCTAACAACAAAACGAGTTGTGATGTGGCCGTTGTTATTGTTTGCATGCTAGCATTTTGGTCTTTTTTTCGTAGAGTCTATCCCCATTGGCAACATTTAATTTCATTCATTGCAGGCAGCGGCAAACGGCAGCCGCCAAAATGCCCAAAACTGCCAAAAAAAAGGAGCAAACCTTTTTCTGCTGACGTTTTTTTATATCCCCATAAAGAATAGTATAAACTTTAGATAAGTTTGTGATTTTTTTTAACATTTTAAAACTTATTCTTAATGCTTACTTGTATTTAAATGTCTAAGTTATATTACTGTAATATTTATATCTAGTTCTTTTTTTGATTTTTTTATTTTCGCATACTTCTTTGCGAAAGTGCATTTCCATTTCACTCTCGCAAATGCAATTTTCTCCAATTTTACGTCTCTGCGGTTAGCCACGTGATTTTGTGTTTGGGTTTTCTTTTCTTTTTTTGGCCATTTCCTTTTCGACTGTGTCTGCGGCCTGTTTTGGCTGGGGGATTTTCAGCATTTTCCACTGGGGACCTGAGTCTACGACTCGAAGTGTTTTATTCATCGTCAGCCGTCTAGCGTCATCGTCTTCGTCTCCAACTGACTTTAATGCCATTTTCGTGTCCGGGCTGTTGCTTTGAATAAATGCCCAGTTGTACGTAGTTTTTTCTTTGCAGTTTTAACTGCTCGCGAGGGTCTCTTGGAGTCCAGTGCGAAATTCACTGGGAATAGGTTGGATTGGATTGGAGCGGGGAAAACCCGGGGGTAGCCGACGGGTAGAAGGATGTGGTAATTGCCATGTGGTAGCCGTCGTTACCTAAGCAGGTGTTTACGTCTGCGATTTTGTTTGTTTACCTTGTCTGCTATTGCAATTGAACATGCAATAAATAGTTCTTGCAATCTGTCCCATTCAATCTGCTTTCGGTCTCTGAGAGAGACCTCGCCCATATTTCGCATTAAATATGCGAGAAAATTGGGATTGCATTTTATTACCATTTAAGTGGAAATTTATTCGTTATGAACTCTACTTTTAATACAATAAAAATAAAAGAAATATTTTTAAATATATATATTTAAGTTATAATCATATACACTATAAATTGTTCCTAAAGCGTATTCAGCCTTTCGGCTTGCACAGTTAAGCCCATATAATTACACTATGCAGCATCAAAAATTAACCTCGATGAATGCTATATTTTTGGATTCGTTACGAATTCCCAAGTTAAACTGCGTTTTCCAAAGAGTTCCCCGACGCAAGGATTCTTAGAAAAAGGACCTCAAAGTTCGAAAAGTGCTGAAATTGACTAACTTTGCGGAGCTCTCAGAGGCAAATGGATGCATGGCTTGGTTCGAAGTTAAAGTTTTTTAAAAGATACACCCTTTATCTTTCAAACCCCATACATAAAATAATTTTAGGATTTTTTTTAAGGCAGAAATAAATTCCAAAAAACATAGTCAAAAACTGAAAAACATATAGCTGCGGTAAAAATAGTAGCAGTGTTGCCGCCTTGTGTTTTTAAAAGTTTGATGTTGTAATTTTTTCTTATCCAATTAGTCTAATAGTAAAATTATAATCAATACAATATTACCAGGAAAAGATCAATTACAACAACAAACTTTTAAATACACAGGGCGGCAACACTACTACCATTTTGACCGCAGCTGTATACTTTTATGTTTTTTGACTATGTTTTCTAGAATTTGTTTCTGCCTTCAAAAAAATCCTAAAAATTTTTTAAGTATGGGGTTTAAAAGATAAAGGGCGTATCTTTTAAAAAACTTTAACATCGAATCAAACCATGCATCCATTTGCCTCTGAGAGCTCCGCAAAGTTGGCCAATTTCAGCATTTTTCGAACTTTGAGGTCCTTTTGCTAAGAATCCTTGCGTCGGGGAACTTTTTGGAAAACGCAGTTTAACTTGGGAATTCGTAACGAATCCAAAAATATAGCATCCATCGAGGTAAATTTAAAAAGCACTAAAAATGCTGCACAGTGTTATTAAACGATTTTTGTTTTTGCATAATTCTTTGTCTTGGTGGCCCACGCGACTCGCACACACAACCTGAAATCCATCATAAGCCCAACAGACATTTATAAATTGGTTTTCTGGTGTTGTGGTTGTTTTTGTTGGCTTCGCTGCTCTCTGAGATATTCGCACAGCCCACATGATTATAATGAAGGCCCCCGATATCTTTAATTGGCCTCAACATTGAAATGTCACACCAGTTGGTAGCATAATTAGAGACAATAAATTTAGCTCTTAGCTATTCGAAATGCATTTGTACTCAACCCGATCTAAATATATCAAATTTCGTTTGCTTCCAGTTAATGCTGCATATATGACAGGCCCACACGACATCGACAGCGACTGAGACACGTAAGTTGAGTGTGCAATTAAACCCCGCAAAAATAGAATATTTATGTAAATTTCTACACATTTTGTTGTTTATTAAATTTGCTCCGCCACGAGGAGAACTTTGTCCGGGCCTGACCCCAATTGCAATTCCAATCCCAGTTGTAATGCAAGTGGAGCGGATTGAGAGGGCGGACTGGGGAGTAGTTAGTGGTAGGGTCTGCCACGCCCACTCTAGTTTCTTTTTTCTGTGCAGGCGGCATATATATGTTTTATTTATTTTAATATGGGCTGAAGTGCGCAGGAAGTGAGTCCCACAGACGAAAATGGGGCATTTTCACATAACATCAGGCCTGTAACTTTGAGATTTGGAGCTGGCAAACATCTATATCATTATGGATTGTTTTGTATAATTATTAAAATATTTTTAAATATTTAAAAATATAAATATTTAAAATTAAATATATCGAATGAATTTAGAATCTAAAATTGTTTTATATTCCAAAAATTTTATTTTTTTGCAAATACCCTTCAATTTAAAATCAATGATGCCATCTCTGCTCCAAATGATGGCAACGGGAAGCTTCAAAAGGGATTATCCACAAAGGATGCTGCTGTGCCGCAAGGAAATTGAATCGCAGAAAGGCCACCTTCTCCGACTTTCTTCTTTTCATCGATGATGTCATTTGAAGGCGCCGGCAGTCATAAAATTGATTTTGCATTAAAATTCGTTTAACAAGAAATTTCGCTTGCGTAAGGAATCGGGAATTAATTAACTTACTATTTATACATATACACTTACAATGTACCTACATATATATGCGAATATATAAGTGCAAAAAGTTGAAGGCGCCTCGCAGATTTTTCTTCTCTCTCGATGGGAAAATGTTTGGCTCGTGGCTGCGAGTTGGCCAACCGCATCGTTTGCTGACCCAATTTTGTTTGGCTAAGAATAGCGAAAAATGTTTAAATGAACGTACGCCGCTGTGCTGCTGTCTATTCGAATTTCGAATATCTTTCTGCCTCGGATTACACTCTATATGTTTAACTCTTTGCCGAGTGACAGGCCAACTTACTTGCAAAAGGCCCACAAGGTTCTTAAAGTTGAATTTAGCTAGACAATTGGAAAGTGAAATATGGCCAGGGTGTCTCGATATATTCAATATTTAATTGCGCTACCCCGAGTTAAGCTGTACTGTCAGCGCTTTGACCATATCCCACTAATTAAACGTAATTTATTTAGCCACGTCTGTTAGTGCCAAATAAAATACGCTAACAAATTTATAACAATGGCAAAAATTTAAGTTGGCTGCCAACCAAAAAGTTGGCGACAAGATTTATTCAATCAAATCTATTTTCATTGTTTTTCACTTGTCATCTTGTTGTAATTGTGAAACCAGCCGAAAGGTAAAGAAAAGCGCCAGAGGCGTGCCTTTTAATGGTCACACTTCGTCGAATGATTTCTTTTTTTGTGAATTTCCCGCCAACAGTGGGTACCCCTAATACAAATACTAGTACCCACTGAATATTTCGATGGCGCTTCCGCATTGTTGTTCGTGTTGCTCCGATGTCTGTTTGGTGTTCATAAATCAATTTGCTGCAATTTCAACAATTTTCGTTTGCCTGCGAGCCTGTCGATCAATTGGCATAGGAACCAAAATTAGAAGACAACGAGTAGCAAATCAATCAAGCGACTGGCTATTTGCATATTTCTTTGCGCCCCAAACCAAGTGTTCTGAAGCATAGAGGTGTTAAAAACTTGATTTCGAGTTGAGACTTTTATTAGTTTAAATACAGCCGCATGTATTTGAAACTCAATAACTTGTTCACTTCTGAAAACTCTTCACGTTTCAGTGACATATTTCTATCGACAATTGTCGCATAAAAACGAACGAATAAAATAACAAGAAAATATTCAAATTACGTGACTTTCATGTCCAAGTCTAAATGTACTTCTTCTTTGTGCTTGATGTTATTAGAAAGTTCCCAAGAAAGAGCTTTCCTATCGATGTCTGATAAAAGGAAACAACATTTGTTTGATGGGTTGGCTTGTAGATACAATATCTATAAATCTATAATTAGAGTTTTCTTTATGTTTTGTGTGTGTATCAACAGTGTGTGTCGAAGTTCTCACGTTGTGGGGGTGGTTGAGATGTTCCTGGCTTTTGTTCACCTGACTGAACTCATTGTATCTTTGTCATCTGTCTTTGTAATGTTTTTATTAAAATGCCTTAAAAATGATCCCGAGCAGTGGCGGAGCTTCATTACCGATCAAGTGGCTCTTCAACTCGCAACGCAACGGTCCGAATATAAAAAAAAATTAAATAAATAAACACAAAATATTGTGATATAATCGAAAAACATTGTGTAGATTTTAACAAACGCGTCAATTGCTTCAGGTGAGCAAATATTTTGAAGAAAAGAAAAATTGGAAAGAAATAACCAAAATGGCAAAAGTTAATTATTTTGTTTATGAATGAGACTACAAGATGTTTGCGCTTTGAATATTAAATAAAAATTTCCTGGCCATTGGCCAATTTCCAACTAGGAAAAGAAAGAGAAATTTCAGCTTTTCAAACTGAAATGGTTCATTTGTTTTCGAGAACCTTGATCTTGTCCGGCAGCCATGTGCATCACTTTATAAACTATGAAATCTTCCGTTTACCCAAAGTCCGCAATTTTGTTTTTATTTCTGAATTTATGAGTAATTGAGCTGTATAAATGGTGGGATATTTTTGGGCCACCCCCGAGTAGAACCAAAAGATGAGTCACCCGCCAATCTAACCCCCAAAAGTCGAAAGAGAAAGCGTAGTGCAGTCCACCCTCGCCGGTTGTTTTGATACCCTGCCCTCTCCTAGAATTTTCGGTTAATTTTAATTTCCCTTCCTGCCTCAACAAACTTCGCCTTGTGGCGACAGTTGGCTGATAAAAAGCTGACAAAAATCGATAAGCGCTAAACTTTTCATTTTCATTTTCTTTCGACTTTAATTTTCGTGTTTCATCTCATCCACCCACCATCACCCCATTTCCCATCGTAATTCTCCCTTTCGTCCGCGCAGTGACATAATGTGTTGTGTGCCCAATGTGACCCACAAGGCTTTTGTTTAACCCAGTCAAACAAAGAAGGCTTGTGAGAGAGTGAAAGAGGCCGAAGACTACATGGAAATACATATAAAGTCAGTTCGCTATATGATATGTGGTGCTCAATGAGAAAGAACTCTGAGCAAGCTTTACAGAAAGTCAATTTATAAGAAGTCTCTTGGTATAAAAAGATTTTAATATTATTTGTTTACATGCGGAAAGATTCTTAAGATTGCTTATATAAGAAATTAACATAAATAAGACCTGTAAATTAAATTAGTTTATTGTATGAAATACTCTATTTGCCCCACTGTGCAGAGAGTGCTGAAGGGAGACAGTCGAGCTGTCGCCAATTGCGTGACCCACCCACCCGTGCTACCCACCGCCCCTTTCCTGTCCGCACAGTGGGCGTGGTTGGGGGCATTGAGCGAGCATTTTTTTTTATGACTTTTCTGGCGCCAATCGAATTTTTGCCCCGAACTTTAATAGACGATGAGACAACAAGAACTGGATTCGACTTTTGGCATTGTCCCTTGGACAATTTCTTGCGTGGGTTGCTGTAGAATAATTTGTCAGGCATGAGCCATTGCGCTTCCACGCACATGTATTACGGAAGGGGTGAATAAGCTCAAAGGAAAGGATTTCCTATTCTTTTTATTGAAGAACTGAGCAGACCTTCCGTTTATCTTATTGTTCAATTTGACAAGTAGATTATAGAGAGGTTTTTTGTGGCATCCTCATATCATGCTATGCTATTTGGTATTTCCCGCACCCTTTGTAGATCCCAGCAACCCCCTTGTCTTATCTCCAACCACAAACCCCTTGAGACCTGCCACTCATTTCAGTGTATTACAAACCTCGGAACAAGCCACATTTTCTATAAGTATTATCAACAAAAATATTTCCATTTCCCTTTTTGGCTAGTGCGCCGCAAAAGCAAAGAGTACAAATTCATTGTTAACTTTTAGCAATACCAAAAGCCAGAACAAAGGTCGAAGAAGTTAGGAAGGCTCGAAGAGTCGTCGCCGTCAAGTCGTGTGCATTTCAGAATGAATCCCACCAATTTGGGCAGGCAGAACGGGGCTCTGGTGCTGGAGGTGTTGAAGGTGCTGGGTCGTCCGGCGACCAGTTACGAGGTGGCCGAGCGGGTGGCCGACGTCTACCGGCTGCCGCTGCACCGCATCCGTCCGGTGGTCACCGACGTCCTCGAGGGAGGGAGGCGCGAGGGCTTCTTCGGCTGCCTAAATGGCCGCTACTCGGTGGTGCAGCCGGTGGTGGAGCAACTGGGCCGGGACATCGATCAGTATGCGGCCGAGATTCTGTCCGAGTGCAGTGCCCCGGGAGCCCTGCCCCAGATGTCGCCCCTGATGCTGAAGCTCCAGCAGCTGGACGGATCGCCGCCCATGGTGAATGGGAGCCGCTACCGCCGGACGACCTCGGGGGAGCAACGCGAACGGCTGCCCTCCGGGGATGTGCCCCTGGAAGCCCGTCTCCTCATGCTGCCCGTCTCTCCGCTGCTGTGAAAATTCTCCATCTCGCAAATTGTACCGCCCATTGCACAGATCTGTGAGTGCAATCAAAAGCTTCTGGCGTCCAATAAACTCGGAACATGGCTCCGAATTTGGATTAAGGATTGGTTTTGTTCAGTGAATTATTAGGATTAGGTTTATCTTAGCTTTTAGTGAGAGTTATACAGTTAAATTTCCTGGGTGGTTTCCGATTTAAACCACTAATCTTGATAATGTCCCCGAAAATGGGGCAATGACTCGTCCTCGTTTGTTCGCTTCTCCCAGGGGCTATTGTCCTTTGTGCGAGTGAGTGAATGCGGGACATTCACATTCAGAAAACACTCGCACAAAGAACCAACAGCTGCGGTCTTGTGGCTTACATTTTTTTCCCCATTTGCCCCGGCGCAAATGGCACTCCACTTCAGGGTTTCCACCTTGCAGCTCCCACTTGGCAGTTCCCAGTTCCCGACTGTCCATTGTCAGGTTGTTGCCTGTCTAGGCGAATCCAAACAGAAGTTCAAACTCGAGTGGCAGCTTTTACCGGCTCATTTGCCTTTGGCTTTTGTCTGGCTCACTTGTCAGCTCTCAAAGTCTATTCCAATTATAGCCTGGTTCGCACTAAATGCTCTGCTTGAGTTCGAATGGGTTTAATTGGCCAACGGGATTTTTATATTTTAAGGGTATTCGAAAGTTGAGCTTTCCACAAGTAGATTTCCTGCTTTTCTCGGCTTTGTTCAACGGTTCGTATTATTATCGCTGGACCTCAGCATGAGTAATTCATTCTGATTTTTCTGATTCAATTAATTGAAGTATAATGCTGCGGCAAGATTTGAGTTATCATTTGAATCAGTAAGTAAGCAAAACAAAAAGAAGAGCAAACCAGCAAGATGATGACAAGTTCAGTTTAAAAGCTCTTTGTTAGTTCACTGGGGTAGGAGAAAGAAAAAAGGGGGGTTCTTTCCTTTTTCTGAGAATATTTAAAAAGTAAAACTTGTATTTTGTTTACATTTACATGCGAGGCTGTCAGTCCTTTATGAGTAAACATGAGATGGTTCGTTGACTTCAAAGGAGGTCGCAGTTTACTTGGATCTCTCTTTTTATTTATTTTAACAGGATATTCTTTATAAGCTCATATATTAGAGAAATGAGATTTAATACTCAAGATATGTAGGGTATAAGAACCTCGTAAACGCTGCTATAAGATGATTCTTATTAATGCGCTTAATTAATTAAAATTAATTTGACAGACGGACTGTCTTGGGAAATAAACAGGCAAATAAACAGATTCAGATATATGGTCTATAGTATATACCTCGGTAAATGTGAATGAAAAATCTGTCAGAATTTAATTGAATTCCCCGAGAAATAAACATAGTTCCCCCACTGCCGTGTGCCATGTTTCGTTGCCCAGTAGTCGTCCTATCAACCAAGCACCCCACTAACTCTTCCCATCATCTCTCTTCCCGCAGAATGAGCCGCCAACACCAGCGGCACCACCACCTGCCGCACCATCAGCAGCAGCCGCTGCAACAGCAGATGCCGCAGCAGCAGCAGCAGTTGACGGCGCAGCAGCAGCAGCAACAGCAGCTCCTCATGGCGGAGCACGCGGCGGCCGCGGAGGCGGCGGAGCTGTTCGACCTGCTGTGCGTGGCCACCACGATGCGCCAGATCCTGGCGCTCCATCGGGCCATGTGCGAGGCGGTGGGTCTGCGGCCGTCGCCCCTCAACGACTTCTATCCGCGACTCAAGGCCAAGGTGCGCTCGTGGAAGGCGCAGGCGCTGTGGAAGAAGTTCGACGCCCGGGCAGCCCATCGGGTCTACGGGAAGGGAGCCGCCTGCTCCGGCACCCGCGTCCTGGTCATCGGAGCCGGGCCGTGTGGCCTGCGCACCGCCATCGAGGCCCAGTTGCTGGGCGCCAAGGTGGTGGTGCTGGAGAAACGCGATCGCATCACCCGCAACAATGTCCTGCATCTGTGGCCCTTTGTCATCACGGATCTGCGCAATCTGGGCGCCAAGAAGTTCTACGGCAAGTTCTGTGCCGGCTCCATCGATCACATCTCCATCCGGCAGCTGCAGTGCATGCTGCTCAAGGTGGCACTGCTCCTGGGCGTGGAGATCCACGAGGGCGTCAGCTTTGAGCACGCCCTAGAGCCCTCCGGCGATGGAGGCGGCTGGAGGGCAGCGGTCAGCCCCGCCGACCATGCCGTCTCTCACTACGAGTTCGATGTGCTGATCGGGGCGGATGGCAAGCGGAATATGCTCGACTTTCGGCGGAAGGAGTTCCGCGGCAAGCTGGCCATCGCCATCACGGCCAACTTTATCAACAAGAAGACGGAGGCGGAGGCCAAGGTGGAGGAGATTAGCGGCGTGGCCTTCATCTTCAACCAGGCCTTCTTCAAGGAGTTGTACGGAAAGACGGGAATCGACCTGGAGAACATCGTGTACTACAAGGACGAGACGCACTACTTTGTGATGACGGCCAAGAAGCACAGTTTGATCGACAAGGGCGTCATTATCGAGGACATGGCCGATCCCGGCGAGCTGCTGGCCGCCGCCAATGTGGACACCCAGAAGCTGCACGACTATGCCCGCGAGGCGGCCGAGTTCTCCACCCAATACCAAATGCCCAATCTGGAGTTTGCCGTCAATCACTACGGCAAACCGGATGTGGCCATGTTCGACTTCACCTCGATGTTCGCCGCCGAGATGTCGTGTCGCGTGATCGTGCGGAAGGGCGCCCGCCTGATGCAGTGCCTCGTGGGCGACAGCCTGCTGGAGCCCTTTTGGCCCACCGGTTCGGGCTGTGCCCGCGGCTTCTTGTCCAGCATGGACGCCGCCTATGCCATCAAGCTGTGGTCCAATCCGCAGAACAGCACACTCGGGGTGCTGGCGCAGCGCGAGAGCATCTACAGGCTGCTCAATCAGACCACGCCGGACACCCTGCAGCGGGACATCAGTGCCTACACCGTGGACCCGGCCACGCGGTATCCGAACCTCAACAGGGAGTCGGTCAACAGCTGGCAGGTTAAGCACCTGGTCGACACGGACGACCCGGCCATTCTGGAGCAGACCTACATGGACACCCATGCCCTGCAGACGCCGCATGCGGACACGCCGGGCAGGAGGAAGCGACGCAGTGGAGGTCAGTAGATGGTGTTTAATTAATCAGGATTTATTTAATAATTTTTCTATATATTTTTTTTAGATCTTTTACCCCAGGGAGCCACTTTGCTGAGGTGGATAAGCGCCCAGCTGCATGCCCACCAGTTTATTGGGGAGCTCAAGGACGCTTCGGATGTGTTCCGCAATGGACGCGTTCTCTGTGCGCTAATTAATCGGTGGGTAGTCGTTAAAAACTAGAGTCCTGCTTGAGTGTACTTGAAAGTCAATTTTTTAAATCAGTTAACTTGGATCACTTTTTTCATTTGATTTCTTCATAAGGAAAAACAAGTGATTTAATATAAAATAAATAGTTATAAAATAATTTCGAATCACGTAAATAATTTGCTTAGTAATTTTATCACTCTGACTCACTTTTTTTCTGTGCTTGTATCACTTGTTTTTTTTACGAGTCATTAAGTGAAACAAGTGATCCAAGTTAACTCACAACTTACAAGTTGAACTCACTCACTCTATTTGCAAAAAATGAATTGTTTGTCAATTCAAGTGTACTCATGCAGGACTCTTTTAAAAACTTCATCAAATAAAGTGCTTAATTAATGGTTAAACTTATAGCTATCGCCCCGATCTCATCGACTTTGCCGCCACCAAGGACATGAGTCCCGTGGAGTGCAACGAGCTGGCCTTCGCCGTCCTGGAGCGCGAACTGCACATCGATCGCATCATGAGCGCCAAGCAGTCGCTCGACCTGACCGATGTGGAGTCGCGCCTTTGGCTCAACTATTTGGACCAGATTTGCGAGCTCTTCCGCGGCGAAATCCCGCACATCAAGCACCCCAAGATGGACTTTAGTGATTTGAGGCAGAAGTATCGCATCAACCACACGCACGCTCAGCCTGACTTCTCCAAGCTGTTGGCGACGAAACCGAAGGCCAAGTCGCCGATGCAGGATGCCGTGGATATACCGACGACAGTGCAACGGCGTTCGGTGCTGGAGGAGGAGCGGGCCAAGCGGCAGCGTCGCCACGAGCAACTGCTCAACGTCGGAGGTGGTGCAGCGGGATCAGCCGCCGGAGCTGCCGGCAGCGGAAGCGGAACGGGAGCCACCACGCAGCTGGGTCTGTTGAAGATTACCATTATACACCATAGTTTGGCCAATAAATGAATCTCTCGGAGTGGCTGCTAGACGAGCATTTATGTCAAATTTTAAAGTGGCAATAAAACCTACACCAGAAATGCTTAGAGCATAGATTAGTATTGATCGATACTGTATAAACTGTAAACTACTTAGTTTATTTAACTTGGCTTGAATTTAATTACTTGAAAGTATAGCTGTTAAAATTGTAAATAGTAAAGAAAAACGTTGAAAACTATTTTCATTGAGAAAAATCCTACTTAGTTTATTTAACTTGGCTTGAATTTAATTACTTGAAAGTAGAGCTGTTATAATTTTAAATTGAGAAAAATGTTAAGAGAATTTTTAAAGAATTTTTTAGTATAGCTGTTATAATTTTAATTAGTAAAAAAAAACATTGAGAACTATTTTCATTGAGAAAAATCGTAAGGGAATTTTTCAAGAATTTTAAAGTAGACTGCAAGCCACTCCAGAGAATCATTTCTATTTATCAAAATCATTTTAAATTATTACTGACCCTGATTTATTTCTGCTACAGGTCAAAATGATACGCCACGTCGGTCGAAGAAGCGCCGCCAGGTGGATAAGACCGCCAATATTGTGAGTAAATGCTGGAATTATTTATTATCATGGATTGGTTCATACGCGAGTGTCCAGAAGGTCTGAGGAGTTTCTTCGGCCGTTTGAACATTTTGTTGCAAATACACACATACATTATGTGTATTTCTCTCTCATTATATACCATGCTCGTTATAAATTGTTATAAACTCAGCTCTCTATCTATCTCTCTCATGTACATTCAAAGAAATTAATTGTTAATTACATATGTAAATCGCAAGAATACCAAATTCATAAAAACCAAACAATCGCCAATCTGTTCCCAAGGTTCAGCTCCTGCTGAGAACAGCTCTCTGTCATGAAATCAGTAACGCCATTAGCGCATTCGAAACCATCAATGAGGTCAGTTCGCTCAGTGTCCAAGTGTCCCAGTGTCGTCTGCATATTCCATCTTGTGATGCGTAACCCCCACTCAAACCTCACCTCACTAACGTAGCAAAGTCAAGTAGCAAGGTAGATCTAGATTTGTGTCTGTGTCTGTCCCATGGAAAAGCACCCAAGATCCCATAGTTATCACAATCACTCTCGGTCGAAAACAAGAATCCCCTGCCCCAAGAATCCGAACCCTTCCAAATCTGTCCACTGTGTGTTGACTCTCACCTCTGCCGCGCAGGAGGAGCGCCAGCAGCGCTTGCAGGAGATCGAGGAGAATCGGCAGGAGCGGATGAGCAAGCGGCGCCAGCAGCGCTACCACCAGACACAGAACTTCTACAAGAGCCTGCAGCTCCTGCAGGCGGGCAAGCTTCTGAGGGAGGAGGGTGGCGAGGCCGGTGTGGCCGAGGATGGCACCCCCTTCGAGGACTACTCGATATTCCTCTACCGCCAGCAGGCGCCCATCTTCAACGATCGCGTCAAGGAGCTGGAGCGGAAGCTTCTGTTTCCCGTAAGCGACGAGAATCTCTGGTTCTCCGAATCTTGCACGCTGCGTCCTCTTCTGTGTTCTATTTGTTGCCTTGACCCGTTTTGGTCCTGCGCGGACCTCTGTTGATCCTAACCTCTGACTAATGCTGCAGTTCGGCTCCCTGAAAATATAAATCAAGAATGGAAGAATATAGCAACTAACAAGTGCAAGTTAATAATAATAACAGCTCGAAGAAAAGAAGATTTTAATCTGTAACATATTAACATATTTGTTGAGAAATGTTTAAAAAAAATTTTAAAATATGTTACGGATTTGCTGATTTTATAATAACACATTAATATAAAAACTTTGAAGGCTCAGTTCTTCCCCAAAAACAAAGTCTAAAGCTTGATAAATGTTTAAAAACTGTTTAAACCCCTCGCGATTTGGCTCTAATATCTGCTGTGAATAATCTAGGTCAGTCTGCCAGATGCTAATTTACTATTTACTAAGCTAAGCTCGTTCATCTAACCAGTCCAAAGTGGACATTTTGTTAAGCTTACGTTCCGTTGTTTGCCTTATGATTTGATTCTTTATGTTTACTCGTTGATAGACGATCAGTAATCAGACCTAAAATATTTATGCATATCTATAAATTTTGATTTCTCCAACCCTTTCCACTCCGCCTTAAATAATTTAAATGCCCAATCACCAAAAACCCAAAACACAATCACACTACCCACCTGTGAACCAAAGGATCGCGAACGGGGAGACATTCCCTCGGCGTTGCCGCGCACCGCAGACGAGCAGTTCAGCGATCGCATCAAGAACATGGAGCAGCGGATGACGGGACGCGGTGGCCTCGGTGGCGACAAGAAGCCCAAGGATCTGATGCGGGCCATCGGCAAGATCGACTCGAACGACTGGAATGTGCGCGAGATCGAGAAGAAGATCGAGCTGTCCAAGAAGACGGAGATCCACGGGCCCAAGGGGCGCGAGAAGGTGCCCAAGTGGAGCAAGGAGCAGTTCCAGGCGCGCCAGCACAAGATGTCCAAGCCGCAGCGCCAGGATTCGCGCGAGGCGGAGAAGTTCAAGGACATCGACCAGACGATACGCAACCTGGACAAGCAGCTGAAGGAGGGACACAACCTGGACGTGGGCGAGCGGGGTCGCAACAAGGTGGCCTCCATTGCCGGCCAGTTTGGCAAGAAGGAGGATGGCAATTCGGATGAGAAGAATGCGGGTAGCACCACCACCAACACCAACAACACAGTCATACCCAAATCAGTGAGTAATTTTGTGTTCACCCACCACCTCCTTGTATCTATTGTTTTGTTTGGTTGGTTTCCCCTCTGCTATTTTATATTTGCTTTTTGCTTTGTGGTTGCTGTTGCTGCTGTCGATGATGTTGTTAGCGTGCTTTAAGCAAAAGGCTAGGCAATTCCCCCACAAAAAGAAAGAAACACTCATAGTCATTAAACTACATATATCCATTCATTTGTACATGACACCCATCAAGAATGCAAGACAAATGTTCAAGTGTTCTCGTTAAATGTAATCCATACTCACCCTTGAAATCCATCTAATGCCTATCCATTGATCCAATGCAGAGTTCCAAGGTGGCGCTGGCCTTCAAGAAGCAGGCTGCCTCCGAAAAGTGCCGCTTCTGCAAGCAAACGGTCTACCTGATGGAGAAGACCACCGTCGAGGGATTGGTCCTGCATCGCAATTGCCTTAAGTGCCACCACTGCCACACCAACTTGCGCCTGGGCGGCTACGCCTTCGATCGGGACGATCCGCAGGGGCGGTTCTACTGCACCCAGCACTTCCGGTTGCCGCCCAAACCGTTGCCACAGCGCACAAACAAGACCAGGGTAAGTTATTAACTGGGATCTAATATACTTATACCCGTTACTCGTAGCCATGACCGTCTGTCCGTCCGTATGAACGCTGAGATCTCGTAAACTACAAAAGCTAGAAAGTTGAGATTTCCCACACATATTCTTGGGCTTCCTACGCAGCGCAAGTTTATTTCAGCCGAGCGCCACGCCCCATTTAACAACCCTTCGTCCACTAACGATTTTAAAATGTGTCTGGCGCCCACAACTCTAAAGATTTCTGAGAAGTATAAATGCAATTTTGTTGTGTATTTGTATACCTATCGAAATGTAGAAGACATTTTTCAAATCGGACCATTCATTAAAAAGTTATGCGCAATCAAAAAAATTGTATGTATCCATCTCCCTCGCGCTCCCTTTAGCCGAGTGACGGGTATTAGCGTTCTCTCTTGTTTTTATTAAAACTAATCTTTAAATTCCAACTATTTCTTTAGAAATCCGCTGCCGCTCAACCCGCCTCGCCTGCCGTTCCACCAGCAGGAGGATCTCTGCCCTCTGCAGCGGCTGAGCCCATGGAGACCACTCCGCCCAGGGACCAAGTGGATCTGCTGGAGACCTCGCGGGCCACTGCCTCTGCGGATGCCATGTCCGATGACGAGGCCAATGTCATCGATGAGCACGAGTGGTCGGGCCGCAACTTCCTGCCCGAATCGAACAATGATTCCCAGTCCGAGCTATCCAGTTCGGATGAATCAGACACGGAGTCGGATTCGGAGATGTTTGAGGAGGCGGACGATTCGCCCTTCGGCGCTCAGACCCTCCAACTGGCCTCGGATTGGATTGGAAAGCAGTACTGTGAGGATAGCGATGACTCTGATGATTTCTACGATTCTAGTGAAGGTATAGCGGGTGAGTGGGCCCAAAAGGGGGAGTTACTCAGTCGCAGAACTAATATTATTTGATATCCTTTAATTTAGATGATGGTAAGGATGACACCGAGGGCGAGGAGTTCAAAAAGGCCCGCGAGTTGCGACGCCAGGAGGTTCGCCTGCAGCCGCTGCCCGCCAATCTGCCCACGGATACGGAGACCGAGGTGGGTTTGCTTTTATTTTGATTATTATTTGGTGATGGGGAGACTAACCTTCTCATTATTCTCATTTATTCTCCTTGACTCTCTTACGATATTCATTTAATCTCCTTCTCATGGTGTTGGTTTCCATTTGTTGTCCCTAAAAAAACCCATAAATATCTAAATAATTAGAAGCTTAAGTTAAACGTTGACAATAAAGAGAATGTGGCCGATGGCAGCTCTCTGAAGTCGGCCAATTCCTTTGAGTCCGCCCGCAGTCAGCCGTCCACGCCCCTTTCCACGCCCACTCGCGTCGAGATGGAGCAACTGGAGCGGAATGCTCCTCGCAAGTTTAGCAGCGAAATTGAGGCGATCAGCGAGAAGCTTTACCACATGAACAACATGATGAAGATGAACAAAGACTTGGAGGTGCTGGCCAAGGAGAATCTGGTGAAGAGCGACATTCTGCGCAAGCTCACGCTGAAGGAGAAGTGGCTGGCGGAGAATGCGGCCATAGCAGCTGGCCAGAAGGTAGTACCAACTCCAAGTCCAAGTGCTGCCACAGCACTCCAACCCAAGTCCAAGTTTGATGAGAAGTTCGAGAAGGTGGTGAGTCCACCACCTCAACCGTTGGCCGAGGCCAAACCAAAGCCCGTAATAGATTTCAATCTGGATGAGCTGAAGCCGCGAAAACCCAACTTCGAAGAGCGACCCAAGGAGCAGCTGCCTAAACCTGAGGGCTTGAAGAAACTACCCCAGCCAAAGACCAAAACCAGCAGCACCAATGTGAGCCGATCCAACAGCTTAAAGAGCAACGCCAGCAACGGGAGTCCAAAGGTGAAGAAAAGTCCCATTGGGGAAATCCTAGGAACCATTAAAAAGATTCAACGGCAGAACAGTAGCGATCAGGATGAAGATATGGATGTAGATCTCGATGGAGATGCCGATGTGGAAGTGGGAAGACCACCCAATAAAGAGCTCAATAGCAAGCTGAAGGAGATCCAGGTCAGCAGTTTTGCCGGCACCATGGATCACATTAGATCCCAGCTGACGATGCCCACGGTCAGTGCCCAGGCACCAGCCTCCATGGACCTCTCCAAGTACTTTCCCAACCAAAAGCAAGAGAAGAGCTCCTCGAGCAGCACAAACAAGAACCAGGTTACCTTGAAGGATGTCAATCTGGCCAAGTACTTTCCCAGCAGTCCGGCTCCCCAGCGAAGAACGGTGGAAACAGTGGCCGATCGACTGAAGAAGTCACAGACTGAGGCTTCACTGGCCAAGTCCAAGGAGCAGGAGGAGATCAAGGCCAAGAAACCGGAGGAGAAAGGAGGGCAGGCTAAAAAGAATCCAGAGAAGGTGGCGGATACAAAGCCAGTGCCACCCAAACGACAAGCCTCATTGGACACCTTTAGCTTGAGGGATCACCAGATGGATGGAGCATTGGATCTAACCAAAAAGAAGGCTCCCGCGAAGGCAACCTCGGCGGTAAAGAAGCCTGTAAAATTGGGAAGTGCCACCACCCTGACGAAGGCAACAGCTACCTCAAAAGGAAAGACCATTAAGATTGTAAAGAAAATCGTACCCAAGGGAACCAAGGCTAAGAAGGCGGCAGCTCAGGAAGCCGCTGCAATCGAAGCCCCTGCTCCTCCCGAGAAGGAGCCACCCAAAGATGAGGCCGAGCGAATATTGGATGAAATTCTGGGAGATGGAGAAGTCCGCTCACCCAGTTCCGAATATCAGCGGCTGTTTGCGGATGAAAAATCACCCAGCGATCTGTCCGACAATATTGATAGAATACTCGAGGAAACGGGTTTGGATCTGGAACTCGGTCTGCCCAGGCGCAGCAGTAAGAAACTGGTGAAAACCAAATCCCTGGGCGAGGGTGAGTTCGATTTAAAACCAGGAAAGGAGCGACTAACTGGAGTACAGAACATCCTCAAGCGATTCGAGTCGATGAGCTCGGTTACCTCGATGAATTCGCAGAATAGCGATGAGCAGGCGGCATTCAAGTTGCGCCGCATGGAGTCAACCACCAGCAATCTGAGCAGCCTGACCCGCTCCCGGGAATCCCTGGTCTCTGCCAGCGAATCGATGAGTGATCTGGAGAAGACCATGGACTACCTGCGCAACGAATGGCGCAATGAGGCCACCAACTTTCTGCAAAAGAAGCGTGACAAGTTCTACGCCAAAAAGGAGGAGCAAAAGGAGGCCAAGGCCAAACCAGTGCAATATCGCGATTCCAAACTGGCCAAGTTCTTTGGTTTAAGCACTCGCAAGTCACCTGAGAAGCGAAAGTCTCCGATTAAGAAAAAGAAATCCCCATCGAAAACGCCAAAGGTGACCAAGGCCAACAATTCACTAGAGGAGCTGGCCAAGATCAGTAATGTTCGCCAGGCCAAGCAGGCTCAGAAAAAGGCCCCCAAGCATATAGAAAAGAAACCCCTGAAGCCAGCCAGTCCTGTTCCAGATGATTTTGCGATTCTTGATCTGCTCGAGAAAGCCACCGAAGCCAAGGAACTGGAGCGCTCAAAGACGAAGAGTCCAGCTGTGGACGCACTGATTCCAGAGAAGCCAATAGAAGCTGTAGTAGAAATTCCCTTACCCTTATCCTTACCCCTACCCGTAGAAGACATTAAAAATCTACCCAAAACCGGGTGTGACAAGTCCTCGAACAGCTCACGTCGTGGCTCCCAATCCAGTTTGGTGATGTCGCGACGGCAGTCGGAGATCTCGCTGACCGAGAAGCTCAACCAGGAGGCCCTGGTGGCCCTGAGTCACCTGGAAAAGGAAAGAGAGGCGGAGCAGGTGGACGAACTGTTCCAGAGCATGGTGGAGGAAATGGAGGAGCAGCAGCCCCTGGAGGAGGACATCGATGCGGACTCACTGTGCACCACCATCAGCAAGAGTCCCAGTGCTCAGCCAGTCACGGTGGTGAAGCGGGGCAGCTCTGAGGATCAGAGCATTGAGAAGCTCTTTGGGCACTTTTCCGACGAGATGCTGGTAAATGTGGAGTTCGATTCGAATGATGAGCTGGTGGGGATTACACCCAGGGCCACACTTGTTTCCCGAAACACAGCCGATCGGGATTACCTGGATAAACTGGAGTCTTTGGAACGCGATGAGGAGGCTCTTCAGCCGGCTATTAATGAGAAATTCAAGCAGGAGAATTGCCTAGATGAAGTGGATGGCCTGCACTTCCCATCGCGCCCACAACGTAGACCCAAAAGCAGTTCATCTTCCAGTGAACCCTCGCTTCCTGTGGCTCCCCAACGGTTAAAGAAGAAGCTATCCAAAATAGATCCCGAGGATATGGCTCCATCTGTGCAGGATCTCTTGCATCAGGTTTACATCAAGAATATTCAACCTGAAGCGGTGGAGGTAATTCCTGTTCAAGACAGACAAACTTTGAGGTTTCCCAGCATGTTGGAAGAAGCGGCTGTGGATGAAGTGGATCATCCCAAAGAGGCTTTTAAAGAAAATGAATCTTCTTCAGAAGAAATCAAGATGGAGACTGTAAGCGAACCAAAAGAGATTCCCCAGGAGATTCCAACTCCCAGCAAACCTCCAATAAGTCTGAGTAACTCGCTGAAAAGTGAGAATTCCTCCGGCAGCAGTCTAGTGGAGATACCAAAGATAATTACGCCACCCAAGTCGGATTCGGATTGGGACATGGAGAAGCTGCCTGCTTCACCGATGCCACGTCGAAGGCCGCTACACAATCCTCCAACAGCCAAGGTGGCCAGCAAGGAGAGCTCCTTGGAGTGGGACATGGAGAAGCTGCCCAACAGTCCCATGTTGCCGCGGCGGAACAAGATGCGCCCCATCTCACCGGGCACCAGTTCCGTTCAGCTCTTGAACAACCTGACCTCCGATGCCGATGAAGAGGCGGCCCAGCGACGCGTCATCGAGGATTTCGAGCAGGAGCGACGGCAGGCGCTGATCAAGCGCGACGAGAGCTTCGAGGCCATTGCGGCGGAGCAGCGAAGACGCGACTCCTTGCAGAGCAGCAGCAACTCCAGTGGCAAGCGCAGTTTGCCACCACCCACACCACCGACTATAGGTTCCCGTCGTGGCACCACTCAGGATACGAATCGCACCCAGGACACCACGCGACACGAAGGCACACCGCCCATGTTCAAGAAACTGGATGTGGATGGCAGCGCCACCACTTCAATGGACTCCACCGCCTGCTCCACGCGGCGCAGCTCGTTTGCATTTATTGAGTTGCAGGACAACAAACCGGTGATTGTGCCCATGCCCAAGAAACTGAAGCTCCCCAAGCCGGAGCAGCCCAGATTTGTGCCCGAACCGGTGGCCACGGATGAGCCCGTGCCCGAGGTGTTTCAGGGTCGCTCGTGGCCCAAGGCGCAGCTGGAGGGGGAACTGGATAATCCGGAGGATCTGGAGGATGAGGAGGCTCAGGCAGAGAGGCTAAGGATGCAGCTGCCCGAGTACGCTCGCTCGGATTCCCCGCCATCGGCTGCTTTTAAGAATCGCAAGTGGCCCGATGGAAAGACCGTTTTCGATAAGCGTGCCGAGTCCCTCGAGGAAGAGGATATATTCGCGGGACTACTGTCGCCCAGGAAAAGAGGTTCCCAGAGATTCAAGGACAAGCCGCGCTCCCAATCGCCGCAGCCCTTTAAACCGCTGGCCAATAGCTCCCGGCAGAGCTCCAAGTCGCAGAGTGATCTCAAGAAGGGTCCCTCTATGCAGTCATTGTCGGCGCAATCCAGCCAGGACACGGACACCATCTCCACCACCACCACAGTGGCCACCGCACGTCCAGTGAGCTATGTCAGCCTGGCGGATCCCATGGACGCCAGTACCCAGGCATTACTGGATCGGAGCAAGCGGTTGCACAACCGCAAGAGGGATTTCGTGAACGAGCGAGTGGTTGAGCGTAATCCCTATATGAGGGAGGTGCTCCGCAACACGGATCGCCGGGAGTCGTACTCGGATGTGGATGAGGATCTGACCAGCTACAGGCCAAGGCACTATGCGAGCTCCAGCTCCACACTTAATCGTTTTCCTAATACGTCTGCGACCAGGAAGAGCACCTATAACGACTACCTCAGTCCCAGCAGTGATTATCTGACCAGGCGAAGCTACATCCCCTCGAGCAGCAGCTACTATCCATCGACCAGCACGCGAAGCTCCCACCTGAGCGATCTCTTCCGGCGACGCAGCCCCGCCAGCGGATCAGGATCCGCATCCGCATCACTTTCCGGCTACGGCAACAAAGAGTCGTGCGTTATCTCCTAGTTGTTTTAGCCCTGAACCACTGACCAACGTAGCCTTCTCTTTTTCATTTATATTCACATTTAACCCCGTTCGCGGCCGCAGACGACGCCTCAACTACTATCTCTACTGAGAGCCAACCCAACACGTCAGCGAAACCAACCCCAACCGACCCCTGACCCCTGACCCCGCCATACAGAAAACACTACTTTAGGTCCCCCCGATCAGCAGCCCAAGAAAATACCCAAAACCATGCTAGACCGCCCGCCCGCCTGTCTGCTCTCGATGTGCCACGCCTACAAGTTCAAGTTCAAGTCCAGTCCAAGTCCTCCAAGGCTAGTTAGCCTAGCCACTTGATTGAAAAGTAAATGCACCTGGGTACGATCTACGAAGGTAAATTCAAGCACAGCCGTCTGCAAAATGTTGCGAATTGCTAACCCTGAAACTCAAAGGCAGCCCGAATTATAAAGCCGAAAGTTTGTAGTCTCTAAACCTGTAAAGCCTAGTGAAGTACTCTGTTGTGTCGTTCTGTTGCCGTCCAAAATAAAATATAATAGGCCTAACCCACCCAGCTTCCAGCTAATCCCGGCCAGCGTTCCTCTCGTTTCCCTTCTGGATCGTACCTAAAGGCATGTCGCCGCCGTTCTTGTTGCCGATTAACTTGATTAACTCCGACTAATTAGCATGTGCGAACCGCAGGTGTTTGCTTTGCTGTACATTTAACCAGCCGCCGCCAGTGGGTGTGGTATCGTAGAATATCGTTGGAACCGATCTCTACTGATCCCGGCTCACCTATTGCTTTTTTACGTTTTACGTTCGTTTCGTTTGCCTCTTGTCCTGTCCTAATTGTCCACTAATCCCAGCGTATCCGTAACTCCACTTGCAGGTCCAAACCGAATCCGAGAGCACCTCGCCCGACGAGGTGGAGCTCAACTCTGCCACTGAGATATCCACCGACTCCGAGTTCGACAACGATGAGATTATACGCCAGGCGCCCAAAATCTTCATCGATGACACCCATCTAAGGAAGCCCACAAAGGTTCAGGTGAGTGAGGATTCTTAACGTACATATGAAATCATTAAGAACGAAAACTGTTCGTCTAACATTATTTAAAGTATAACAACGAACGACTGCTTTCTTTTTTATTGTTTTATTAAATTATGCAAAATGTAATGGAGGTTCCATGACGAAACTTTCAGGGGCCAACAAGAATTATGTATTGTACATTATACTATTTTTTTATAAAACCATTTTTATCTGAAAGCTTGTCAAGAATTATAATTTTGGAGTATTTTTATTTATTTTTTACCCCACGTAATTTAAAGTTATAAATTAATTAAACAAAAAGAGCGTCGCCATATCTTTGCATCTGTAAAATGGATTTTTTTTACCTTTTTTTAAAATTATTTTTAAATGGTGTAGTATCGTGATAAAAATGAGATATCGTTTTGAGACCATTAAGAAAATCTCGATACGTTTCACAAAGAATCACTCATATATAGAATATTTATAATTGATATTTTTCCCTTCCAGATCAAGTCCACCATGATCGGACCCAATGCTGCTGCCGCCGGTCTCCACCAGAAGCAGTTGGCGGCGCGGGAGAAGGGCGGCAGCTACCTGCAGAAGTACCAACCGCAGCCGCCACTGCCGCAGTTCAAGCCGCTGGTCCAAGTGGATCCCACCCTGCTTATTAGTAGCCAGCGTGCTCCGCTCCAGAATCCCCGGCCGGGCGACTACCTGCTGAACAAGACGGCCAGCACCGAGGGCATCGCCTCCAAGAAGAGCCTGGAGCTGAAGAAGCGCTACCTGCTGGGCGAGCCGGCCAATGGCAACAAGATCCAGAAGTCGGGATCCACCTCGGTGCTGGACTCGCGCATCCGCAGCTTCCAGTCGAACATCTCGGAGTGCCAGAAGCTGCTCAATCCGAGTAGCGATATAAGTGCCGGCATGCGCACCTTCCTGGATCGCACAAAACTAGGAGAGGGCAGTCAAACCACCAACGAGCTAATCCGCTCCGCCACCAGCAATGTGATCAACGATCTGCGCGTGGAGCTGCGGATACAGAAGACCCCGTCCAGTCATTCCACGGACAACGAGAAGGAAAATGTGTTTGTGAACTGCAAGAACGAGCTGAACAAGGGCATGGAGTACACGGATGCGGTGAATGCCACGCTGCTCGACCAGCTGGCCAGGAAGAGTTCGCCCACCACGCCAACGAATAATAAGACGGTGATTGAGGTCATTGACCTGGTTACTCCGGAGAAACCGGTGGATATTATCGATCTAACCGCGCTGGAGACGCCCAAAATGGAGGTGGATGAACGCCACACACCCGACAGCAACAAGATCAGTGAGCTGAAGGAGGAACCAATACCGGATGTGTCGCGGGATGTGAAGGAATGCATACCGGATATACTGGGTCACATCAAGGAGGGAACGGGAGCGGAGGAGCAGCAGAGTCTCCTTGAACAGTCGGACGAGGAGAAGCGCGATTCGCCCGAGAAGGATGTGGCCGAGCATGAGCTGTATGAAACGGTGGACAGTGTGCAGATCCAGGTGCCCAATATACCGTGGGACAAGACCAAGCCGGAGGTCATGTCCACCACCGGCAGCAGTGGCTCCATTTGCTCCAGCTCAGACTCTTCAAGCATTGAGGACATCCAGCACTACATTCTGGAGTCCACGACCAGTCCGGATACCCAAACAGCGGGTGGTGGAAAGCACAATGTGCCCCGCTTGGAGGTTCACGACACAAGTGGCGCTCTGATGCAGGTGGACAGCCTGATGATTGTAAATGGAAAGTATATCGGAGATCCCGAGGATGTCAAGTTCTTGGACATGCCCGCCAATGTTATTGTTCCGCCTGCTGCGGCGGTAAAAACGAACGAACTGGAAATGGAGGATGACCATGAGACGGAGCCAGTGACTGCTACTCCGGAGCCAGCTGAATGCACGGTCATCAGTGCTGCTCCTCCTCCGCTGCCCGAGATGGGGCCACCCAAACTGAAGTTCGACAGCAAGAACGAGAACAAGATCGAGAGCCTGAAGAATCTTCCCTTGATCGTGGAGAGCAATGTGGAGCACAGCCAGGCAGTGAAGCCCGTTACGCTTAATTTGAGCAATTTGGCCAGAACGCCGGACACACCGACCACGCCCACAGCGCATGACAGCGACAAAACGCCCACAGGGGAGGTGCTCTCCCGAGGATCCGACTCGGAAACGGAGCACACGGGCACTGGTCATGTTTTAACGGAAACGGAACTCTCCGACTGGACGGCCGACGACTGCATCTCGGAGAACTTTGTGGACATGGAGTTTGTGCTGAACTCCAACAAGGGCACGATGAAGCGGCGCAAGGAGCGTCGACGCAGTGGAGCCAACAAGCTGCCCAGCGGCAACGAGGTTATCCATGAGTTGGCCCGTCAGGCGCCAGTGGTGCAGATGGATGGGATTCTCAGTGCCATCGACATTGATGACATTGAGTTCATGGACACGGGATCGGAGGGCTCCTGTGCCGAGGCTTATTCCGCCACGAATACGGCGCTCATTCAGAATCGAGGCTACATGGAGTACATCGAGACGGAACCCAGGAAGGCGACCCGCAAGGCAACGCCACCATCTTGTTACCCTGGGAATCTACCGCCTTTGGTGACGAAGCGGGATGAGAAACTGGGCATTGATTACATTGAGCAGGGGGCGTACATCATGCACGATGATGCCAAGACTCCCGTGAATGAGGTGGCTCCCGCCATGACCCAATCCCTGACAGACTCCAGCACGCTCAACGAACTGGATGATGATAGTATGGGTGGATTGGGTCTATCCCAAACCCATGCGACCACAACAGAGGAAAGTGAGGCCTTGACGGTGGTCACCAGCCCACTGGACACCTCCTCGCCGCGGGTGCTCGATCAATTCGCCTCCATGTTGGCGGCGGGCAAGGGTGAATCCACGCCAAGCAGCTCGGAGCAGCAGCCAAAGACCTCGACGGTGACCAGCAGCAGCACGGGGCCCAATTCCTCGACGCCTGGGAATGCCTCTAAGGAGGGGCAGCCAGAGGAGGATCTGCAGATTCAGTTCGAGTATGTGCGAGCCCTGCAGCAGCGCATCTCGCAGATCAGCACCCAGCGGCGCAAGAGCTCCAAGGGAGAGGCCAACGCACCTGTGATAGAATCGGTGGAGGATCCAGCGAAGCCCGCGGAGGAAGCTGCCGTAACGATGCGTCCCCGAAGCACCAGCATCTCGGGCAAGGTACCCGAAATACCCACGCTCAGCAGCAAACTGGAGGAGATCACCAAGGAGCGCACCAAGCAGAAGGATCTGATCCACGACCTGGTCATGGACAAGCTGCAGTCGAAGAAGCAGCTGAATGCCGAGAAGCGGCTGCACAGGAGTCGCCAGCGCAGTCTGCTGACCAGCGGCTATGCCAGTGGCGCCAGTCTGAGTCCCACGCCCAAGCTGGCGGCTGCCTGCAGTCCGCAGGATTCCAACTGCTCCAGCCAGGCGCATTACCACGCCTCCACGGCGGAGGAGCGACCAAAGGTGCAGGCGGCGGAGAGGCCTTTGCAGAAGTCAGCCACATCCACCTATGTGTCGCCCTATCGCACTGTCCAGGCGCCCACGCGCAGTGGTGATCTCTACAAGCCGCGTCCCTTTAGCGAGCACATCGATGCGAGTGTTTTGACGGGCTACAAGCTGGGCAAGACGGCTTCGTTTAATGGCGGCAAGTTAAGTGACTTTGTCACGCCCATTGCTCCGGCAAGAGTTAATCGAGGAGGAGGAGGAGCTGCGGCAGCGGATATCTCCGCCTCAACGGAGAACTTGAGGAGCGAAGCGCGGGCCAGGGCGCGTCTCAAGTCCAACACAGAGCTGGGCCTGAGTCCCGAGGAGAAGATGCAGTTGATACGCTCGCGGCTGCACTACGACCAAAGCAGAGCCCTCAAGCCGAAGCAGCTGGAGGAGATGCCGTCCGGCGATCTGGCTGCCCGTGCCCGCAAAATGAGTGCCTCGAAGAGTGTCAACGATCTGGCCTACATGGTGGGCCAGCAGCAGCAGCAGGAGCAGCTGGAAAAGGATGTTGTACTGCAGGCCAAAACGGCCGACTTTACATCCGATCCGAACTTGGCAACCGGTGGCCAGGAGAAGGCGGCGAAAACAAAGTCCGGGCGCAGGCCAAAGGATCCGGAAAGGCGCAAGAGTCTCATACAGTCGTTGTCCAGCTTCTTCCAGAAGGGTTCTGCCTCCGCGGTCAGCAGTTCCAAGGAGCAGGGCGTCCCTGTGGCTGCCGGCCACTCTGAGCAGTCAGAGCGACCCGGCACCAGCAGCAGCGGCACGCCCACAATCTCGGATGCGCCGGCAGGAGGCGGCGGAGGAGGAGGAGGCGTCTTCAGTCGGTTCCGCATCTCGCCCAAGTCCAAGGAGAAGTCCAAGGTCAGTAATCTATAGTGTGTGGTTTTGGTCGGTGTTGATGTAACCAAATGTTAGTCCAAGCTATCGATTCACCCGACCTCATCTAGCATTAAGTTAATTTAACAGCCAAGAGCTCGGTAATTGGTGTGCCTAAGTGTCTCATTTATAACATTTAAAATTCTCTTAATCAATTTACAGTCTTGCTTTGATCTGAGGAATTTCGGTTTTGGTGTAAGGACTTTTATAACTATTCTAAACCCTAATTACCAAACACTTTCGAGTTTTTCAAATTTCCAAAAACACTCAGCTTAGTTTTATTATTTGGCTACCGTATCTAATCGCACATCTCTCCATCTGGATGGTTGCTTTCTGTCTGTTTGCTGTCCTATTAACTCGATTAAATTGCAACAATTATATTTTAATTTGTTTTCATTTATTCTATTTTCGTTTTCTTTTACCCAATTCCAGCAAAAGTTATTTAAGTCTTAACTCTTAAGTTTGCCTGCTGTTCTATTTTTTATTTCCTCCTATGCCTCTTAATTAACATTTATGTTTTTCTAATTTTAAAACTTGAGGATATTATGTTGTGTGTTTTTAGCCTTAAGTTTTTATTGGTTTAAGCACTGGATAATTGTTTTTTCGGGGATTATGTATGACTTAAGCTCAATGTGTTGGACTATTTTGCATGGTTGGTTTCCCAGGACTTCCGGTTATGGTAATCCATAAGAGATATTTGTTAAGCTTCCTGCACGTTACATGTATATAATATTTTCTAGTAAATAACATTTTGTTTTTAATCAGAGATCTGAAAGCCGTTTACTTTTTCAAAATGTCTTTATCCGCCTTTTTTGATACCCCTCTCAAAAACACGCAAACATTTAACCCGATATATATTCTGATACCTCCAAACACTACGCTACACTAGGACAAGGATATGCTGGTCTGCAGTGCAGCTGCAGCAGGAGCATCACAGACATCACAGAATCACTCGCAAGAGTATCTGAACAACGGTCGCTATCGAAAGCAAACGAACACTGCGAAACCGAAACCCGAATCGTTCTCTTCATCCAGTCCGCAGCTCTACATACACAAGCCCCACCACCTGGCCGCAGGTCACCCGACGGCCCTGGACGACCAGACACCACCGCCCATACCGCCTCTGCCACTGAATTATCAGAGATCCGATGGTTTGTTGTGCTCATTTTATGTCTGCATATTCAGTCCCTCCCAAGTGCCCTGTGTCCCGACCCACTGATTGATTTGGCAGGCTTCCATTAATCCTTTTCCCTTTCCAGATGAGAGCTACGCTAACGAGACACGGGAGCATAAGAAGCAACGTGCCATATCGAAGGCTTCGCGACAGGCTGAGCTCAAGCGATTGCGAATCGCTCAAGAGATTCAGCGGGAACAGGAGGAGATTGAGGTGCAGCTGAAGGACCTGGAGGCACGCGGCGTGCTTATTGAGAAGGCCCTGCGGGGCGAGGCGCAGAACATTGAAAAGTGCGTCCTTAAATCTATATATTTCATATGGAATTTCAACTAATAAAAGCTTTTTTTCCAGCCTGGATGCGACGAAGGACAACGACGAGAAGCTACTTAAGGAACTTTTGGAGATTTGGCGCAACATCACAGCACTAAAGTTGGTTTACTTATAAAGCTATCTAATTATAGAAGCTAATAGGACTGATTTTGCTTTCAGGAAACGCGATGAGGAACTGACTATAAGGCAACAGGAACTGCAACTGGAGTATCGGCATGCCCAGCTCAAGGAAGAGCTCAATCTGCGCTTGTCCTGCAACAGTAAGTGAAAAAATTAAGAGATAAATATGATTTTGAATCAATATATAACCACTATTCCTATAGAACTGGACAAAAGCTCCGCCGATGTGGCCGCCGAGGGTGCAATACTCAACGAGATGCTGGAAATTGTCGCCAAGCGAGCCGCCCTACGACCCACAGCCTCCCAACTCGACCTCACGGCAGCGGGATCGGCATCGACCTCAGCCGAGGCAACGGGCATTAAGCTGACCGGACAACCGCATGACCACGAAGAATCAAATGTAAGTTTGTCCCATAATAAGTATGATTTCTAAACTAATAACTCCTTCCATTTCAGATTTGAATAGCAAACTTTCCCTGGGGTCTGCTGGTCTGCGAAGTTCTGCAAGGACTTTTGAGCCTAAATACTTAAGATGAAACTGGGGAGAACGTACCAAAAAGGCAGCTGAATATACAAATTTAACAATACTAAAACCCATGAGCTGTAGCCGAAACGAGCAACTAACTATTCAAAGTGATTGAGCTGGCAGAGAACAATTTCGATATATATTTAAGTAGTGAGCATAACTAATTTTGGAGAAGCGCGCAAGGTTAATGTAAAAAACAGGCAGAGAGGAAATCAAAACCAAAAACTAATTTCGCAATTTGAGAGTAAGGAGTAGCATTGTTTTTCGGAGAATAACTTTAGTTCCGTATTCAATCTAATTGTATGCTTAGTAGTCGTTGCCACTGAAATCTGTCTGATCTTTGTATGTCCTGGCAATATGTTGTGTTTTATTTAATTTAATACGTTGATTTGTCTGTGTAACGTGAACATGTGCAAAGGGTATGTGATTTTGAGTAATTGTAAATGGTGTATTTGAGTTTTCTTAGGTTATTTTCACTTCACCGATTGTCTGTCGAGTTCTGTGTATACCGTTTGAATGTATTATTATTTATTTGATGAAGCACCCGCACATCCTCCCGAACAGCACAACCTTGTATGTAATATGTCATATGCTGCCCAACCAAAATCAAAGTGAACACAAAGAGATGCACACAAATATTTTCTATATGCGAGAGCCTACATACATATAACGATGTAAGAGAGCAAAGCAACCATTAACTGTATACTAATGAAATGATTTAAATTATTGTGTAATTTTATTTATAACCTGCATATATAAAAAACATATTTATCGAATTTATTATGTAATTTTCGATTTATTTTGAATTGAATAAAGATTTTATGAGACCTAAAGAAGTTTGTTGTTGGGATGTGGGTTTGTTCTATTTCCATCAATTATATTATTCCTTAAAGAGCTTTCCATGAGGGAAAATTACATTATTTTTTTAAATGAAGCGGAAAGTGGCAGATATCAGAACTAGATTTTCCATCCAAAATAAACAGTATTTTAGCCGAAACAAGCAATGTTTTCAAAAATGGAATGTTATACCTCTTTGATCTCAACAAACTTTCATTGAAACGAGGACATTTTATTTTTTCCCATTTTTCGCAAAAAAAGTGAGCTCTTATCAAAAATTCAACATTTTTCAAGAAAGATAATTTGTCTTATTGAGCCGGAAAGTGACAAGGATAAGTTCGCTAGTTTGTTACCTGTATGAAATGGTACAATGATTTAATTTCAGACCATTTTTGGCCAAGTCATAGATAAAAAACTACACAAAACGATTATTTTCCAACTAGAAAGAATTTTTAAATTTAAATCTGATTGGACGGAGTTGCCACATATCTTGCACCAGGTGGTAACCTTAAAGTCACGGTGAATAGGTATTTATTTATATGCCGTATGGTATTTTAAATAATTTTCGGAGTGGTCCTACATCGCAACCGCAATTTTGTTTTTGTTTGTTTTCCCAAACACCGAATTAAAAGAAAATTACGCTGATTTTAATAAAAATACAATACAATGGCTGACAAAAAGTCCACTGGGGAAGCAACCAAATCCGTCCAGACATCAGCGGTGGCCAAACAGGCGGACAAGGAGGCGAAAAAGTCGGCGCCAGGAAGTCTCAACTCGGGCTCAACTGATGGCGGGAAAACTGGGGAAAAGTCGGAAAAGCCGGGTGTCCAGCCCACCGCCTACAGCATGCGACCGGCGTTCGGAGAGATGTTTCCCCTGCCCACCATCAAGAGCATAATGAACAACGTGATGGCCGAGAAACTCAAGGGTAAAAATCTATAAATCCATGTTTGTAGCCAGTTGCTAAGCAACCTTTTTATCTATATTTGCAGACAAAACCTACGACAAGGATGTGGCCAGGACGTGGACGAGTGAGATTGCGGACGAGGTGAACCAGCAGATAGCCAGCAGCTCCAAGGTGAAGCGCTACAAGCACGTGGTCCAGGTGATGCTCGGCCAGGAGCTGGGCGCGGGGGCCACCTACAACTCGCGCTGCTGCTGGGACTGCGACTGCGACACCTCCGTCTCCGAGGTCTTCAGCAACACCAGCCTCTTCTGCGTGTGCACCGTGTTCGGGACGTACCAGTACTAGACGTAGATTAGGCTATGAACCCCCTCAGCATATTTATTTTCAAAGTGGTAAGATAAGCATGTAGAAAAACGACTATTTTAACTTATTTATATGATCAATACGACATGATTTTACACTGCATAAGTACAAAGTATTAAGTTTCATCTCGATTAGTTTATACAATGTTCATATCTCTATAAACATCGGCTTGTTTTCAACCAACCTTCCTAGTGTTAAAATTAGAGCCCTGCGTGAATCATTCAGTTTTTGTTTAATCATAGTATGCCATGAAATTTCTGAATTGTTTAATTCAATTCTATCTGAAATTGTATGATTTTCTAATTCATTTCGAATTGAATGTATGAATGAATGAATGAATAATTTTTTATGAATTTTTTGAATTTGCGAGATTTTTTTGTGCTTTCTTTTGAGAACAAAATATGCAACATTTTTAACAAATCAATGTTAACTGCTTAGTAAATAAAATTCAGGCCGATTTAATCACAAAATTATGGGCCTTTCTTCTTCAAAAGAAATTGTCGTTTGTCTATTAAACCCAAAATTCAAATTCATTCAACTCTATTAAACTCAAAATTCTAATTAATTCATTCATATAAAACAAAAAAATTCAAAATAATTCATTGAATCCATTCATGCAGGGCTCTAGTTAACATATTGTACTTCATCTTCATACTAAGCATGGCCAACTTCTCGTACTAGTGGGCACCGGGTGAACAAAGGGTTCATCACTTTCGATGGTCGACCTTCGTCGAGCTTCATTGGATGCGCACGTTCAGCGGATTCAGTATGCGGCCCGACATCACAGCCACGTCCAGGTCGCGATCGACGATGAAAAACATAAACGGATGGTTCACGGAGATCTGAATGGGCTTCGTTTGGGCGCCGTAGTTGCCTAGAGAGCGAAAGGAAGTGTTTATTGCACTTTGTCTCGTGTTGCAGAGGCTGTTGCCTCTGTTGCAACACCATTAGGTGGGGCCATCGCAATGCGTTGCGGCTCAATGCCTCCGCACTCCATTCAGGTGTGCTGCAATGCGAGACACTTACGCTTCAGCTGATTGATGGGATGCGTACGGATGGTGACGTCTATGGATTGCTCAATGTGCCGCACGTAGACGCCCTTCTCATCAGTCATGGGCCTGAAATCGGCGCGATTCGGCTCGAAGACGTCGCAGCTGCAACGAAAGTAAGAGTGAGCGGTGGAGTTCCATCGATTACACGCCCATGCTTACATGCCCATCTGCAACAAAGAGCAAAAACCAATAAAAAATGCTTTAAAAGCCACTCAAGAAACACTCACATTCTGCAGATCGTTGGTCAGGAACATGGTGCCGTGCAGCTTAAAGTCCGGGATGATGGCCTGCACCCAGCGCGGCTTCAGCTGCTTCCGCATCAGCCGCAGAGTGGGTCCCAGTTTCAAGGAGGCAGCCGCCGCCACAATGTCCGTGTGATAGTCGGGCAGCAGGATCATGAGGTTGTACTCCGGCGTATCCAGCTCCAGCTCCAGCACGCTCATCTTCAAGTGCTCGAAGTACTTGTAGTAGAGCACCGCGTTGTACACCTTAAAGGTGGTGTGCACCACCTGCTGGTTGCCCAGGTAGAAGACGTGGCTGATCACGTCCGTATTGTAGTTGGACTTGCCCTCGGCCGCATCGCCCACATAGTGCGGCTCAAAGTCATTGGTGATGGGAGCAAAGGCAGCGGGCACCGGCGGTGGAATGTGCAGCGGATGGTGCGGCACGTGGGTGTGCGGATTGAAGAGCGTCAGGAAGAGATTCGCATCTAGATCTGCCGGCAGTGCGTGCCGCTTGTGGCGCACCATCTTGAGCTTTCTCGTCAGCGAGTTGTTCGCCGCCTGTGGTGCTACAATGGAAATTACCTGCCTTGTTGGCGATGGCTTTCGCTCTGCCGCCGCCACCTGGCGAGCCATCATCATGGGCATCGCCACTGCCCGGGCGCTGGGCAGGTAAATGGGCTTGGGCGTAATCGGATTCGAGTGCTTGAGCGGCGCCTGCAGCTTGCTGGTGGGCAGCCGGGAGACTCGAGCCTTCTGGATGCGCAGCAGCGGCTCGGCATCCTCCTCGGCCACAAAGGCGGACACCAGCTCGGCTGCCTCGTCTTCAGCAGCGGGCTCGGCGGCCTCTTCTTCGCCCGAAGTGGCAGCAGGAGCTTCAGTGGTGGCCTCCGCCTCCGCAGGTGCCTCTGTTGTGGTGGTTGGCGGCTCAGTGGTTGTGGTCACCGGTGCCTCCGTCGTGGAAGGTTCTTCTGTTGTGGCTTCCGCATCCTTTAACGTCGTGGTCTCCGCTTCCATTTCTCCGGTCGTGGAATTGCTGGCCATTGTGGTGTTGACCATCTCGGCATCTGATGTCAGATTGGCTGGCGTTGAGGATAGCATGTCGACACTCAGATCGTAGCCATAGAACATGAGAATCGTCTCAAAGTCCTTGAGCACCGTGACGTTGCCCTTGTTCAAGCTGAGTCCTTTGAGGGGATTGTCGGAGCCAAAGAAGTAGGTCTGAAAAATGTTTAATTATTAAAATTAATTTTAAACCACTTTAGATTTCCAACTCCTTCAAAATCCATTGTAAAAGGTTTAACTACAGCTAATTATACCCGTTACTCTTAGAGTCCGTCAGTCCGTCTTTCTGTCTGTCCGTCCGTATGAACGCTGAGATTTCGGAAACTACAAAAGCTAGAAGGTTGACATTTCCCACACATATTCTTTGGCTTCCTACGCAGCGCAAGTTTGTTTCAGCCGAGCACCACGCCCCCTCTAACGCCCACAAACGATTTTAAAAAGTGTCTGGCGGCCACATCTTTTAAGATTTCAAAAATGTATAAATGCAACTTTATAGTGTTTATAAATTCCTATCGAAATGTAGAAAACATTTTTCAAATCGGACCTTTCATTAAGAAGTTTTGCGCAGTTAAAGTTTTTTATATATCCATCTTCCTTGCACTCCCTTTAGCTGAGTGACGGGCATTAGATAGTCGGGACACCAATCCGACTATAGCGTACTCTCTTGCTTTACTTTAAGTTAATTAAAATAATTTTTAAAAAGACTATATTGACCAGAACCTAATCAATTAAAAATTCTATTCACTTGAACAATTGCTGGTCACTTTTGGGAGATTAACCGATCCAATGGGGTCGACGAACTATTGAAACCAGATTAGAGATCAATCGAGCAATGGTCGTAGGCCTGGGGCAATTTGTTTGGCATGATTTTGGATTCTGTTCTTTATCAATGACCACTTGGCATTGCGCCCCCAGTATGTTTATGGGTCTGTGCTATGGGTGCTTAGCCAGGCGTGTAAACGCACGTTGGCATTTAATTTTAAAGGGGCTTTCGAGTGGGTTAAGTTCAAAGCAAACACATTGGCCTAGTTCTATGTGCCAGTCTCACCCTCAATCGTCGGTGGATGTCGCGGTAGCCCACGCGGGTCACGTCCCGGTTGTTGGGCAGCTGCAGGACATGACGCAGTTCCTCGGCACTATTCCCCGCCGATCCCTCGAACAGGGCCACTAAAACACTGACCAGTGCGGTGGGCGAGAAGGCAAAGTTGTTGCGATTCAGGATGGAGTGGTAGTGCAGCAGGCGGTGGGTCAGGTCGTTGGTCAGGTCCACCATCACCTCGGCGGGCGTCAGTTCCTTGGCGGCCAGCACCTGGGGCAAATGATCCAGGGGCGTCAATGGAGGCGGTGGAAAGTGCGGATGCGGGAAGCCACTGGCGCGAAACTCCTCGTGGTCTATCTGGATGTAGTGGGCCTTCGCCTGGAGCAGGAGCACCAAACAGGTAATCCCACCGAGAAGCAGCGGTAATCCAGCCATGACAATGCAGCCGACCTCGCACTGAACTCAACTGATTGATAGCGCACTTAGCACTCTGATTGCCGCGTTCGCGGCTGTTTAGCAAAAAAATTGGCAAGCTCTATCCGCGTTCCCAAATTGCAGTCCATTCATATTATTTTCCACACTTTTTTCCGATCCCGATTCAATTAGCCCAACCCGATGCTCTGCACTCAAGGTGATGACAATTCCGAAATTCGTCAACCGTCAAGCGTTTTCCACATAGTTTAGTTTCAGATGCAGTGGGTTGGATACTCAAATAGGTAAATGGTTGGATCGTTTCGCTTCTGGTCCGAACTGATTCGCGTGATTGCTGCTGCCAAACTGAAGTAGGGGCTGCTCGGGCAGTGTGCTAAAATACGGCAGCCGATCGATGGAATCGGGATTGGATCGTATATTCGAGCTCGGCTTCGGGGTTCCGCCCGTCGATGGGTTGTTACGTGGAAAATATTTGCCATATCACATCTCAAAGAGTGATTTTCTTTTTAAACGTCTTTATAACTCACCGGTAAATTCATTTCGTTAACCAAATAAATAATATTTTTAATAATACAAAATTTAAATGAAATCATTAATGGACTTTTGAAATAATAAGTTACAAAAAAATCATTTTTATTTAGAAAAATTAATAAATATAATGCTTATAACTCACCTGTAAAGGCATAATTCATTTCGTAACCAAATAAATAATATTTTTAATAATATAAAATAATATAATAATGAAATCATTAATGGAATTTTGAAATAATAAGTTACAAAAAAATCATTTTTATTTAGAAAAATTAATAAATATAATGCTCAATACGTACGAGTATATTTATTGAAGTATTGAATGTCATACCTCTTTGAGTTCGTAATAATAAATAAATTGTATTTCTTTAACATTTTCAAGACAAAATTATTTAATGAAAGTTGGAAATGTATTTTGGAATACTGAAGAGTGATATGTCAGCCCTACACAACATTGAACAAAGTCACAAAATGTTAAGGTTATAAAAAATCGATAGATATAGGCCAAAATAAATTAATTTTCGAGCAACAAGTGTTCCCAAGAGGGTGGATGATGGTATCTCTGGTAATCGAATTGACAGCTCTAGCACACTTCCTTGACGTAAAACCTGATAGCACCTCAGTTGCTTCGCGGGAAGTTGGTGGACAGGGTCATGCCGTCGCCAGGAAGACTTGTACAACTTGTCCTAGGCTCCTTTTGTGCCGTGAATGGAATTTTGGATTTTTATATGGATAGCGGAGCAGAAAGACTGCGCTGGTCCCGCTGCCTGGCCATCTACCGTGTAGTACACAACTTTATGGTCTTCAGCCTGACGACGAAATTCCTTCTGGATTTCTGGGAAACGCACGCAGCGGAAATCAAAAACTCCAAACTAATGACAATGAACTTTTTTACCTATTTTACATTGGTTTTCCTGGCCATAACCACCTCGATGGGGTGCTGCTACCAGTGGCAAAACAGGATTTTTATGGTTATCCAGAAGCTGAGGCATCAAAAGGACCAGAGCAAGCGGTTGGGATATCGAGTGCCGAAGTGCAAAAAGTTCTTCGTGGACTGCTCAATGTTTCTAGTCACCATCCTAATGTTCCTTCGTCTTGGCATCCATGTGACCATGTGGCTGATGAGCGTCCGGATGGGCTTCAATCACCCCTGCAACTGCTTCTTTCCCGAGTGCATGATCTTTGCCATGAATTACCTGGTGTTTGCCATCCTAGCTGAGATAACCCAATGCTGGTGGCGATTGCAGTCTGGACTAGAGATGCTACTCGTGGATCCAAGACCAACAACTGTGGACTACCAATTGTGTCAGATTCAACGGCTGCACACCATGTTTCAGTGCCTCATCGATGTAACCTCGGAAGTGTGCTCTATATTCAAGTTCGTCCTCCTGAGCTACACGGCTCGCAATCTTTGGAGTGGCATTGTGGCTGGATACATGGTAGTACGCGTGGTTCTCGGAAAAGGACAAGCCGACGTTGAGTTTATGTACTTAATACTGGCCTTTGTCACCTGCATCCAACCACTGATGTTCTCGTTTCTGTTGAACAGCATGACCCACACAGCAGATTCGCTACTCCAGGCAACCAGGTATATTTTAAGAACCCCTTACAAACGAAGCGATCAGGTGGATAGAAGTGTGAGTTCTTAGGCACTCTAATATAGAAAAGATTTCTAAAGTTTTCAAGTTCTTACAGATTGAATGGTTATCGCTGCAATTGGCTAGGCAGCACAGTTATATCGCTGTCTTTGGTACTTTTCGCATGAATCGATCCTTGCTTTTCAATAGCCTAGCCATCATCCTGATTCACGTGCTCTATATGGTGCAATCTGATTATATTTCAATGACTAAGTAACCACAAAATAAACTATTATTATACATAAGATTTCTTTCCTCCCAACGTTCCCACCTCTTCAATAAAAACCACAATCAGTTAGTTTTGAAAGTATCATTTTGCTCTTGTCTTTTCTGTTTTTATTTTATTATAGAATTTGTATTTTGTTTAGCTTATTTCGTACAATTAGTTGTTTACGATTTTATTCATTCTGATTTCGATTTATTGTTTAAAATCAACATTCATAAACACGTCCATTGAAATGATTTTGAGAGTTTCTTGCTTTCTTTGTTGTATATTTTCATTCGCTTAAAATAGTTTTGAAAATGATTTTATTCGAGGTACTTCCTCGTATAGCGTGAGTGGTGTTAGAGTTAATGCTTCGGTGTGATGAGAGCGATAGTGGTGATAGTGATGGATCCTTAGGCTTACGTACATGTACATATGTATGCAGAGTACAAAATGTGCACATCCTATCCGCTTAATGGTAATGGCTAATGGTTAGTAATGGCTGATCTGGAGTCGGAGTTAACATGAAGCATAAAAAGCCAACCGAGCAACAAGTACTAAAGTATCCCTATATCCCTAGCTGCTGTGATCTGTAGCTTCGGTCTGTACATTGAGTGTAAATATACAAATATGCCCTTTGCCTGTATATATAAAGACGCAAAATATATCCATTTATGATCTGTAGTTTGTGTGTTTTGTGTGTACCCCTCGCTTCGTGCTGCCTTCCTCTATTTTTTGTATGTCTAAAAATGTTCGCGCGTAAAACGTTTTCCTTTAGTTTAGTTGCTTTGCAAAAAATATAGTCGCCCCACACGCACATTAGCCCACCGCAGGATGTCCTGCATGTCCTTGATGTGCGTGTGTGCGCACTCTCTATCTCTTTCAGTTTTGTAGGTACTCGATTCTCACCAATGTTTAATTGAAGTGTTAAACATCTCAGCTGCTCTGTATTTTGGATATTCGTTATGTTTTCATTGAGGGCTCGGGGTCACCAAGTTATGTTCTGGGGGTCACCAGTGATTGGGTCCTTTGGGAGGGGGTTTTCATTGAGTTTTCAAGTTTTTGGGTCCTCGAGTTTTAGCAGTTATTACGTTAGTTTCGGCGTGGACTTAAGCTTTTCACATTGAGACAACGGTACGTATGATTAATGCACATCTATGTGTTTCTAGGGTATATGAACATCATTGCCGTCAGAGGGGAGTTCTTGTTCTCGTTCTCGTTTTCGTTCGCTATTCATAATTTCGGTTAGATATATGTATGCATATGGTTATATATATTATCTGTATTTAAATATATACTGTTTACATGTATAATTATATGCTTATTTAGCCGACTGTATTTTTAACATGGAATATACACGACACTTAGTTGCTGGTTATTTACTTGGTTTCAATATGGTTTTTCGTTTGGAAATGCAAAACTCCGTTACGCTAGATCGTAATTTAAGTATTATCTGTTTCTGTTTCTGTGTCGTCTGTGTGTGCTCCTCTGCTCATTTTTCACCTGCTCCAGGCCTAAATTTTGCCTCTGGCTAATGGGCGTGGCAGGGGGTGGGTGGTTGCCGCCCCAATTGCGCCTCTTTTGTACCTTGTTATGTGGTGATCAGTGGCGGCACGGCGATCCTGGCGACCGCCGCCTGCCTTTAAAGTATGCTATGCTCTAGCCTAACTTCGCCGACAAGGACAACCAGTTCAACTAGTTGGCTAGTCCAAGCAGAACCGAGATAAGTACACAGTGGGGATAATGGTAATGGTAATGGTAATAGAACATTATTCGTATTCGTAACAGCAAAACAGGTCAACAAGGTGAAAACAAAACAAGGATGAATCGTTCTGATCGGGTACGTTACTTATGTATATAGATGTAGACACAACAACAAGTATATATGTATATCATAGATTCATCTCGTTATTCATCGCTTACGAACTACACATAAAAACACGAAAAGTTCAAGGTGATAATGATGAGTGGTTGTCGTTTGTAGTTGTGTGTGTGTGTGCTGGGGGATGCCCCTAATGCTAGACATACAAATACAAATACAAATGTGGTGGGAAGTGGGGTAGTGGGAGCGTCTAATTTTAATCAAGTCGAGTCAAGTCATTCAACGTATCTCTCATCTCTCATATCGCCTAGATCCTAATAAAGTCCTCTCAGTTAGCCCAACTAAACCGATTATTGTTATATATTAATTGTTAAGTGTTAAGTTTTAATTTATAATCTTTAATTTTAGGATTTTCTCGACGCCGATTTCATGGGCACTACTAAGTTAACCCATAACCATACTTCAGGGGGTGCGCCCCGAACAAAAAGTCTTTTGAAATTAAGGTTGCATTTAGCCAATTTTGAAGACATCTAGTGGTTTCAGTTGCCAGCCAATCAATGCAAAATAATTGAATACAATTTCGGCCGAAGTTCTCATCCTCACACTCAGTTATCAAAACAATTGTCGCTTGCCAATTATCATAAATTTAAATTGTAAAAAAGTTACAACAACACGTGGGTAGAAAAACTTATTTAAAACCTATTATTGAAATTATGCCATCGCTTAACTTAGGCAGAGGCCTATATGTTAGACGATTTCACGTCTGATATTCGTGATTTTCACTATACATAATCTCGCTGCGTATTTTTCTTTTGGTTTGAAGTATCAGTCAGTTCACAAGAATGCTCTAATGTGTGTGCGTGATGCATGATTACCAGGGTAAGTACTTGATTGTATAAACAGCTTATTGCTTTCCTCGAATTAGTGTGTGTTTGGTTTTTGGTTTTCTAAGCATGTTGCTGATGTTATGATTGCGAATGCGAATGCGGTTGTTTTTTTTTGTATTTCGTTGCTGGCAGTGTAGAGCACTTGTTTCGGTTTCCGTCCAACAACTTTTAATCTTCAACTCCCAGGGGTATGCTATGAAAATCGCCATTCCCCAGGATATAGCTCGCTTTTCTCCTCGATTCGATTCGATTCTCATCGATGAAATGGATTTGTGATTGTAATGATTGGAGTGGGTTCATGAAAACGCAGCCAAATAAACGATGCGCAAGTCTTTTGCTGGATACTCACTAAACTAACCGACTTAATGCACTTAATCTTAAATGGAATTCAATGTCTAGCACCGTTAGCTGCCTGGCTGATATGCGTGAGTGCGCGTGTGTGCCGTATGTGTGTGTGTGTGGTGCGTGTTGGTGTGTTGGAGTGTTGGAGTGTTCGAGTGTATATATCAAAATGAACAAGTCAAATAAATCAGCCTTATATTGAATGCAATTTTGTTTTAAAACTAATTTCGCTTTCCAATTATCCAAAAAATGAACACCAACACACACACAAAGACGCCCAGGCCGCAGCCACGGTCGCAGAGCTCCGATTCCAGGCCAGGATCGGAATCGGAATAAGTTCCGATATCCAAGGTCCAGAAGTCGCTCAGACACTTTGCCCCTAGCTACACACCTAAGTTTACTGTATATATGTATATAATGTATCAAGTATAATTACTTAGTTATCGTTTAGTGGATGCAACATACCGCGCTGAACCAGCAATCGCTGCGCCGGATCCGAACTCGAGTCCAAATCCGAATCCGGCCGCCAGCTGCCGTGAGTTTTCTAATTTTAACCGAGCTCGAACTCCGATTCGCTCCCCCTTGAGGGACTATTCCGAATCCATCTTAGCTTAGAGTTAATGTTATGTTTACACATCAATAACGACGATAAATATCAGAAGAAATATCATAAGTATCCATCTACATGCATATTCGGCTTACACGTAAACGGGGGCAAATATGCCCGATAATATATAGCTAGTTCTGTTTTATTTTAGAGATAAACGCACATCGATCTGTTGCTGCTGTGGCTGTCTTACGTAAGCACTTCCTTGTCTGTACATCTGTCTTAGGATCGGCTTGATTCAGCGGAAAGGACAACTAAAAACGAACTACCATCGGAATATCTAGTGATGCGGTAGAAAGTTGTACAATTTGTTGCGATACGATCTGTTCTACGTCTGAGACCCTGGGAGAAACCGTGTCTGTCTGAGAAATGCAATCTTCTTTCGGGGGAAACGTGAATCCGTGAATAGAAGCCATTCTATCCGAAACAAGGAGTAACTGAATGTGAAACCAAAGGACCAAAGCAACTGAAAAGTAAAATCATAATAAAAACAAAGTGGTTGGTTTTTGTTTTGTTTAATTATAAATAACAATTGTATATTTTTTAATAAAATGGGTGTTCTTGTTGTTGTTGTGTTGTATTCTTTTCAAGAAAAAAAATCAAAAAGAAATATTATTTCTCGCTATTGAATGAATCTAGCATTCATGTTCGATGGATTAGAGCTTTTGACCTTTACTGATACTCTCTGATTTCCCTCCGTTAATCTTTAATCTTCATTAAGCATTAGTTTTGTTGCTTCATCCGTTGTCACTTTCCATATTTGTTTTTCAGGCCAGGTCAGATCTTTGAGGATCCCCACATCGAGGGGACTTCGATTGCCTTGCATTTCTTGCTCTTTTCGTGATTATGGTAATCGTACACATAAAATAGTAAGAAATATTAGCGATAATTATATAATAATGGATAGTTTTCTTTCTTTCTTTCTTTGTTTTTTGTTTGTTTAAAAATATCACTTAAGTGTAAATAATTTCCAGAACGCAACGAAATAGATCGAGTGTACGTACTTAACTACGCTTGTGTGTGTGTGGGGTGTGTTTTTTGTTTGTGTGTTGTGTGGTGCACGAAAATTAGCAAGAAAAACAATAATAATGATGACAAAATCGTACTCGTAATCATAATCGTAATAAAGAATAGACGCCCCCACGGGCGACAGACAAAAATAAGTAAAATGTATTGCATTTTCTCCGTTTTCAGTTGCATTTTACTCGGTTTGTTTGCAATCGATCTTGTTGTTGTTGTTGTTCTTGGTTTGATTAAACTTATAGTTAATAAAAACGAAATACAAGTGTAAAAAATGTTGTTAAACTTTTTCGCATTACACAAAAATGGCCACCATTATGAATTTCATTCAAATCACGGCAAACAGTTTCAATGAAATTTTCGTTTGCGTGTTTTTCACTCCCTACGGTTTATATCCGCCTTATCCCTCATCATTCATTTTTTCCGCCTTTCCGTAACATTCCCATTTTCATTTTCAAAAACTTTTTAAAGCTGCTGCCGCCTAAGCTCAATTTTTCCTTCCTCTCCGCTTGCCTCCCATCCACTTTTCTTTCCCTCGGATTCGTTATCCCATTGCACTTCTCTCCGTCGTCCCTTTCGTCCTTTGTCCTTTAAGTGTGTGTATGGGGTTTCTATATTTACATATTCTAGACTTTAGTTTGTACTTCCAATTTGGTTAAGAATTCCTTGTGTATTTTCATTTCTTCATCCGTAAATTCTCCTGCTCTTCAATCTCAATCTCTGGCCATCCTTCGATAGACTTCTCACATCATATATCATATCATATCATATCATATCTCCTTATATCCTCGCAAACCTCGTTGGGTCATTTGTGACGTCATTGTTTGTATGTGTATACCGTAATTTGAACAATTCACAACAGTTGCACAACGCAAAAAGTTTTTGTTTTTTGTTTGTTGGTTTTAAATCTTAGTTTTTAGTCATAAGTTCATTACAAATTAATCAATAGACGAATTTAGCTCATTTTTCGTTTTTGTTTTTGTGTGTGTTTTAGAAAATATCAACTTAACAATGTATTAAAAATTTGAACATGGTTGAAAGTGTTTTCCTTCTGGCTCCAATAGAAAATTTTGACGGTTCCCTTCTCTCGATATCGATAAGGATTAGATCTATCTCACAATCCATCTGTCTGTTTGTCTGTCGGCCTGTCTGTCGGTTTGTTTGTTTGTTTGTTTGCTTGCTTGCTTGGTTTGTTTGTTTGTTTTTAAAATTCACTACATTTAAGTTTAAGTTGCTCGTATGTCTATATGTTACATTAGCGTGGTTTTTGGGTTCGGATTTGGATTTGGGTTCGGGGTAATTGTTCTATAGATGTTTTGAGAGTTGGGGTCTTGGTTTTGTGGGCTGGTGGGTGGTGGGTGGTAGGTGAGTGTGTTTGTGGGCTGTCTGGGTGCTTAATTAACTAGATTATTTAGCTGTGTGTCCATCTATTGCCGCTCGTATGCATAAAGTCGATTAATACTTAACTCTTAGCGCTTAACACACACTTACAAATTGTTTAAACGGTTCTTGGATTTGAGTTACACATGATTATGCAAGTAATTTAACTATTTTTCGTTTATGTCTATTTAATGTGTAGATGCAACGCTTTGAATATTTAATATGCATATCTTTAGGTTTTCGTTTTGAATATTCTGCTTTATAGTTTTGATTTGTTTGTTTGTTTGTTTGAGTTGGTTTGCTTCGTTTTCATTTCTTTTCTATCGTATCATATCATTTCATTACATTTCGTTATGTTTTCTTTGTTTTAGAGCGAGAAGTAGAACAAAAATTGCACTTAATACTAGAAAAAAATTTACTAGAGTTCCTTACAACTAAAAAAAATCAAATGTATATTTGCTTTAAATATTGTTGGTTTTTGTTGTTGTTGTTGTTTGTTGTTTTTGCTGTTTTTTCTTTTGCATTTTTTTGTTATGTTTTTCATGTAAAACAGCTGGCATACGTATTTTATCTGTTTCCATTTTCTTTTTGTTTTTTTGTGTATATATAAAAATCTGCCAACTGCTGTTTCGCTTTCTATAACATAAGAATTAACAAAGTCATTTTAGAAATAAATATGTATATATATATGTATATTTACGCACTGCAATAATAGTAATCGATAATAATAATAATAATAAAAATAATAATAATAATTAGATTATTGTAGATTGCAAATGTTGCCCGGGCGCAAATGTCAGCAACATTTGCACGGCAGTTGGCAAACACCTGCACAACAACAAAAGAGATACCGTTACGTGTTTAAGGTGCACAATTCAATGCAGAGTAAATAAGAAGAGACCATTTTTCATTTGCATTTTTGCGTTTTTCTGTCGTCGGCTAATCAGCTATCCAGCTACTCATCAGGGGGGATGGTTTTGGGGTCAGAGGTCATTCAGGGGGCGGTGGTTCCCGTGGTTCTTCCGGTGGTTCGGCTGGCTCAACCCTGCATTAGAACGGCCTGCGCCTGCTGCTGCTGCTGCTGACTGGCGGCTGCTCGGCTCCAGGCCAGCAGACCGTTGGCAGCAGCCACCTGCGCCTCCTCCTGATCCTCGAGAGCCTCCTGATCCCCCAGCTCCGTCTCCATTTCCAGCTCCATCTCCTCCAGCTGCTCCTCCTCCTCCTCCTCCTCCTGATCCTCCTCCATTTGGGTGGGCGTGGTCGTCGTGGTGCTGGCCATGGGCGCCACAATCACCGAGGTGGCCACACTGCGTATACGCACTGGCCTGTTGCTGATTGTGTTGCTGTTGGCGGTGACTGCATAGGGATGTTGCTGCTGCTGTCCGCCGTACCGCTTGTTGGTTTTGATGGTCAGCGAGGAGGGCAGCTGCTTGCCAGCAGCCACCTCGGCGGCCAATCGCACCACCGTGGTGGTCATCTTAGAGGGAGAAGTTGCTGCTGGATTGGGAGTGGGTGTTGCTGCTGTGGATGTTGCTGCTGCTGCTGCTGCTGCTGCTGCCTTGGACTGGTGCGCCGACGCCTGGTTTGCCGCCTCCGTCGACGACTTCTGTCGCTTTCAGTCCCCGAAGCGACTGCACGCCTTCTTCCACCGGCACTGGGTGCACCACTGGTCGCGCTTCTCCATGCCGTACACCTTGCGGCACTTCTTGTTCTCCCCGCGCGTCCTCTTGCCGGGCGAATGGGGCGTATGCTTGACGGCCGCCTGTTGCTGCTGCATCAGCGGATTGCTGTTGTTGTTGTTTTGGGCAACCAGGTTGCCGGCAGTTGTCGTTGGATGTTGCTGGCGCATCGGCTGGTGGTGTTGCTGCTGCTGCTGATGTTGCTGCTGCGCCGGATGGTAATTGGGCGTAATCGTCACACTGGACAGGAGGTGCTGCTGCTGCTGTTGCTGCTGCTGGTGGCTGTGTTGCTGCTGTTGCTGTTGGTGGAGATGTTGCTGCTGCTGTTGCAACTGCTGCTGCTGCTGCTGTTGGCTGTGGTGTGCCGTCACCGTGACATTCTGCTGTGAGAGCTGCTGCAGCATGTTGTTGGCACTGCTATTGCTGTGGATCACCGGACTGCTGCTGGTGCTGCTGTTGCTATTGCTGCTGCTGTTGCCGCTGCTGCCGGCGTAGTTGTGGTGGTGCGTGTGATGGTTGTTGCTGCTGCTGCTGTTGCTGTGGTGCTGCTGCTGCTGTTGGACGTATGTCGGCGATGGATATGGCGCTACCGAGTGGGACGGACGGGTGGACGACGAGCGAGCGTGCTTGCCGAGCGGTGAGGAGCTGGAGCTGCAGCTGGATGCCACGAGTCCCGTCCCCGCGGATGGCACCACCGCCGCCGCCGCTGGCCAGGTGTAGTTGTGGTGGGCCAGGTGCGAAGTGGGGATGCAGCTGGTGTTGTTGTTCTGCAGCTGCTGCTGGTGGGTGCTCGGGATGTTGCTGCCGCTGATGGTGCGTCCGTGCGTCTGCGTTAGGTGGTTGTAGTGGCTGCCAGCCCGTCCTTGTCTGTAGAAGGAAAGGATAAAGGGTTAGGAATAAATCCTGTAGTATATACTATAGCAAAACCCACTTGAAGTTGCCCACAATCTGCTTCTGGTACTCCGGATCCTCGTGCGGCGGACGCGCCATGTCGCGGTGACTCAGCGTCGGCTCGGAGGCCAGGCTGGGCTTCACCTGCTCGTCGTCGTCGTCGACATCCGTGTAGTAGAAGTCCTCCTCGTTGTCCTCGTTGTCATCCGCCGAGCGACGGGCCTTCTTCCTGCAAATGCAAAAGGTGGCGAGTTGATTAGAAGGATGTCTCGAAGTAGTGATGCTGTGTTGTGTACCTAGGATAACTACTACTACTACTTATTTTTACATTTCAAGATTTGTTTTAAAACTTTTTAAAAAATGTTATTTTATTTTCATCTTTTATAAAATAATATTTAGGAGGTGTATGCCTTAATTCCCATATTCAAAATTACTTTTTAAGTTTTTAAAGCTTTGATACAGAGTAAAATTGAAAAAATAAAGTTTTTTTGGCTTTATTTTAAATGGTTTTAACTTACACGCTAAAAATGTTCTTTTTAAATTGACTTTTCTAAATGTCAAATATATAGGTACTTAAATTAAGTACCTAACATCCCTTTCAAAAGACCGTTTTTTTTTGGAATCGCGTTGCCAATCACTTTTCAGGGACTGAAACCCTGCTAGGCCTTACCGAAGTTCAGAACCAAAGGTTAATTGATGACCCATTTGGTATTTTTTCGGTATTTTCGAATAACTAAAAATGGTATTTACCGCCGAGGCAGTCACACTACAGCGCTAACAATTTTTGCAAAAAATACGCACGTTCCGGGTTTCCGTGTGAAATCAATACGAAATCAACAAGATCGATTTTCAGCAGCCGTCCCAATCGCAGAGCAGCGCGCATTGATAGCCAGCGCGCCAATTACCCGAGTCCCAGCTGTCTGTTCCATTCACTAGCCATTTTTTGTGCGGTGGAAAATTTCGCAGATAGAAAAATTTGCGCGTCTCTCTGTCTGCATCGCTTTGCGTGTGTCTGTGTGTGTGTCTGTGTGTGTGTATAGCACGGCCTACATTGTCAATTAAAAGCAAGGGAAAAAGACGCCGAAAAGAGGTCCTTTGTTCCTTCGCCTTCGCCCTCCAACAAAGCCAGCCAAAAGATGTCCAGCCTGCGACCCGAGGAGCCCCGGAAGCTGGCCACCGCCGCCTCCGTCTCCCCGCTGAGCAATTGCCAGTTTAGCGGCGTGGTAATCAGCGCAATTGCCGACGAGCAGAAGCTGGAGTTTGCCAACAAATACAAGGGCAGCTGCACGCTGCTCTGCAGCTACGACTCCCAGGGGGTGGTGCTCCGGGTGGTGGCAGGTGAGCAGCCCCCTTGAAATACCCCTGAAAACCCCCCTAAATCTCTCTTTAATCCCTCCCCCAGATGACGACCGCAGCCACGTGCTCAAGGAGTACATGATTGCCGCCGACACGGATGCCGCCCAAATGGGCCGGCGCAGCTATGCCGTCTCCCTGGACGCCGACAACCTGGTGCTGCGGTTCGCCAGCGACCAGGACCAGCAGCTCTTCCGCAAGGTGGTGGAGAACGTCAAGCATCTGAGGCCCAAGTCCGTGTTCTCGCAACGCACCGAGGAGTCGTCCGCCTCGCAGTACTTCCAGTTCTACGGCTATCTCAGCCAGCAGCAGAACATGATGCAGGACTATGTGCGGACGAGCACCTACCAGCGGGCCATACTCGGCAATGCGGTGGATTTCCAGGACAAGATCGTGCTGGATGTGGGCGCCGGTTCGGGGATTCTATCCTTCTTTGCCGTGCAGGCGGGCGCCGCCAAGGTGTACGCCATCGAGGCCTCGAACATGGCCCAGTATGCCCAGCAGCTGGTCGAATCGAACAATGTGCAGCACAAGATCTCTGTGATACCGGGCAAGATCGAGGAGATCGAGCTGCCCGAAAAGGTGGACGTGATCATATCGGAGCCCATGGGCTATATGCTGTACAACGAGCGCATGCTGGAGACATATCTGCATGCGAGGAAGTGGCTGAAGCCGCAGGGCAAGATGTATCCCACGCACGGCGACCTGCACATCGCCCCCTTCTCCGATGAGTCGCTCTACTCGGAGCAGTACAACAAGGCCAACTTCTGGTACCAGTCGGCCTTCCACGGCGTCGACCTGACCACGCTGCACAAGGAGGGCATGAAGGAGTACTTCCGCCAGCCCATTGTGGACACCTTCGACATACGCATCTGCATGGCCAAGTCGGTGCGGCACGTGTGCGACTTCCTCAACGACAAGGAGGACGACCTGCACTTGATTGGTGAGTGATCTCACTTGTGAGAGTTGATTGGGAGAATTTACTAACTGCTGACCTCCCACAGACATCCCCCTGGAGTTCCACATTCTGCAGACTGGCATCTGCCACGGACTGGCCTTCTGGTTCGACGTGGAGTTCAGCGGCAGCAGCCAGAACGTCTGGCTATCCACGTCGCCCACGGCGCCCCTGACGCACTGGTACCAGGTGCGCTGCCTACTGCCCATGCCCATCTTCATCAAACAGGGCCAGACGCTGACCGGTCGAGTCCTTCTAGAGGCCAATCGGCGGCAGTCGTACGACGTGACCATCGACCTGCACATCGAGGGCACGCTAATCTCGTCGAGCAACACGCTGGACCTGAAGAATCCGTATTTTCGGTACACGGGGGCGCCGGTCCAAGCGCCGCCGGGGACTAGTACCCAGAGTCCATCTGAACAGTACTGGACGCAAGTGGACACGCAAGGATCGCGCAATTGTAAGAGCAGCTTTAGTATTTAAAGAAATCCTTGCTTATAAAATGTTTAACCCACAGCTTCAAGCATGCTAAATGGCGGGCTCAGCGTGAATGGCATGGGCGATGGCATGGACATCACTCACGGACTAATGCATCCGCACTAGGACAGCCGCGAATCGAATAACAAAACATCTTTCTGGGAATTCTCTTCGCTCCAAGTCCGCTCAACTTCTAAGATTGGTTCTTTTTTTGTCCACTTTTGTTTTGTTACAGTTTATGTTTAGGTTATTTATTGAACAGTGTAAATTATTTCGTTTATTCTCGAAATTTAGTTGCTTTTATGTTCTGCACACCTATGTTTTACCACCCCTAAACTTTCCCCTACACCTTTTAATTGATCGGACGAATTGGAGGAGACCCAGCATCCCAGCAAGCAACCAACAAACCAACAAACAATCAACAAATCAAGGCAGACTAATGTAGTTGTTTAGAACACGCAGCATATTAATAAGCCTAAGCTAATTTTAGCCCATAGTAATTAGTGTTTTTAACGTATGTGAAAAGTAATACCGATATTTAACCCACGCGGGAATTGCGCTTCAGGAAGTTTCTTAGTTAATATGCCGATTGCCAATTGCAGTTTTTGCCGAAAGCTTTGAACAAACCAACAAATTCAGATTGTACTGTATCTATTATGTGTGTTATATTATATTATATTGTGTGTACCTCCAGCTAGTTTCAATTTTTGTACTTGTCGGCCGTGTTTATGTTTAGTTCGTTTCAAGAAATGTAAGAAATTGCTCATAGGATTTAGCGCTAAGTTATGAGATACCATTACTAAAGGCCGGCCCTCGCCGAGAGATTATACATATATATCCGCATACGATTACGATTAATTCAGTTCTGGAGGCACTTCTCGTTCGCTCCTAAGTTTGCCCAGATCCTACTATATCGCTGCCAGCAAGCCGAGCGCTATATAAGCATATACACCTAGATATACACGTAGCGTACGCCAACCTATACACACATCCCTACTTTGTAGAGCAGCAGGAAGAATAACTATAATAAAAACACTCCAACACACAATACACTGCAAAACATAAATATATAAAGCGAAACATATACAATTATATATATATATATATACGACTAGATATACCGCATATATGCAGAGAAGAGAACAATGTCAAAGCAAAAGCAACAAAAAACAAGCCCCAAAGCGTCTTTTATTTGTGCAGCCCCCTGCTGGCCCCTTTGATTTACATAGGAAACGAGATTGGCAAGTGTCAAAGCTCAGCGCGGATCGTGTGTGGGCGATTGGAATTGGACCTTGGCCTCAAAAGCGCACCGCTGCACCACTGCACCACCCACTTCACTGGTTTGCAGGTGCGCAAAGCCAAGTAATCTGCGTGATGGAGAGGGGCACACTCGTGTGACCTGCTTACTGTGCTCGAGTGCTCCACTTTCGATGGGTGGAAATGCTGGCAAAGAAGGTCGCGTCGTCGGTGGCTAAGTCAAGGCCCCACCCACTTGCTGCTCGCCACTTAATCCTGCGATAGTAGTGCAATTTCTTGCTCTTGTTCTTGCTCACTTACCCCAAATGTGTTTTCCTAATGTGACGAACGATTTTGTTCTGGTCGGGTTCCACATAGTGACAGCCCCGATAAGTGCAGCGGAACTTTTTCGACTGCAAAGAGAAGAGGAGAAATGGGGGGTTAATTAGATGGTATAATATTAAATATAAATAAATAATTAAACTTAAATATCTATATATTTTATATATATATATTTAGATAGATAGAATATATTTATGTTCTAGGATCTCTTTCGTACTTGGCGGGAAAACGTCTGCAGCAGGGAGTGCGAATCCTCAGAGGACGAAGTAGAGGAGCGCGAGGAGCAGTCCCCCGTGGGACTGTGGCTCCCATAGCTCTCGTAGTCACTGCGCTCCACATAGTAGTTGAGTGCCATGGCATTCATGCTGCTTCTGCTGCAGGAGCACTTTTCACTTTTTTCCCGTAGAAAGGAGCTGGAGCGATTCGAACCGGTGCCGGCCCGGTGCCAAGTGCGACTGTGTGGGTGCGGACAATGCAACTGGCTGGCTGGCTGGCTTTTTGGATTCACATTCAGAGTCCTTGGACTCTCGCCCGAGCGGCAAACGATGCCGCCCGAACGAGCTGGCCATGCCGCCTGCACTGATAACAGGGCCCGGGTCCGGTCCGCCCCCTGCCCAGCCACCCAACCACCCCCTTATTTACTGGGTCACCTTGCGGTCGCTTTGCTTCGCTTGTCGCTCGCCTTGACACGCTTTCTGCTCCCCGCTTTTTATGCGCCTGCATTTATGCTGCGTTTTTATGCTGAAGGTTAGGAGAGCGCGCTGCAGCAGCGACGCCGGCAATTGACCCAGTTTAAATATGCTGCCTCACTGTATACCAATATACAGTTTTGGGGGCACTGCAAACAACTCATTGCGTCCTTGTGCTGGCAATTGTTGTCCTTGTGCGACGGCTGAACAAATTGAAAGCTGAGTTTTCGGTTTTCCCTTTTCTTTTTGTTGGCCTTGTGCGCCGAGTGATTAACGATTTGTTTACAACTTTGTGGTTTGAGTTTGCTCGAGCTCGAGCTTTATTTGTTATAGATTGCAGTTGTTATGCCAGCCATTTTGGCATTTCGGCCCACTTAAGCTGGAATTCACGGAGGGCGCACACGGCGTATGTGTAATATGAGTAGGGAAAAGAAGAAGAATAAGAAGAAAGCCTTCTTTAGGGGAGGAGTCTGCGAACCGCAACGTAATCATAACCATAAATATCCTGCGCTACTTAAGAGGCGTAAATTGTTAAAGCACGTGGTTGGCAGGCATCTACACAAATGTGATGCACAGAGAGAAATAACTGAATAGTTATTAGATCAAGTTAATCTACAAAACTAAAATGATATTTTCTAAGCTCAAATTGACAGGAGATTGTACTAAAGAGAGATCATAACATTATGATTTATTAGCTATATTAAATTCAATCTTCCATCATCTTTATTTCCGGTGCAGACGTAACTGCCCGAATGGGAAAAGCGGAAACTTCTACACACTTTTCGTTTTAACTTGCTGCAATTAGTGGGCGGCCGTAATTCGTTTGCGGCCAGACTTCTGGGGCCAGGATGTGCCGCATATCCTGGCGCATAAGTAAGGGCCCACGAATACACACGCTATTGTTGCCAGATGTGTGTATATATATGTGTTTGTCAGCCAAAACCAAGTGTTTTCCTGCCATTTTCGCCATTTGCAGTTTCACGGAGTTGGTCGCCTGCGTGACTGGCATCTTAATAGTGAGTCTGAATGTCTGAAAAGGGGTTTATTAATGCCTCGATTTTGTTCAGCTGCCAGATAAGCGGACGGCGAGTCGTTTGTCAAACGCTGCGTATGCGTAATTTTCAATTCCCCAGCTGACGATGCCGCCATTTGCCATTTGCCTTGCAATTATCTTCAATTAAGTCGGAAATCATTTAGGGCTATCAATTCAGGAGACCGCTATCCTGTATTCTGTATACCCAGCCACCTGCCAAGTCACTTGAATCGCAAAGTAAATTAAAGCAGCTTGAGTTATGTCCCCTTTTCAACGTTCAACGTGTAGTGGTGCGTTTTAATTATCCGCCTCTAATGAGGAACTCCCATTGCCCATTGTCGGGGGTAAACGATGCCTGATTGCTAATGAAAGAAAACCGAACTCCAGCTGGCAAACTTTCGGATGAGGAAATAAAATTCCACCCCGGTCCGGGAGTGACTACCGCACTGTGTCCTGATTTGGCAGGCAAACAGCGGGTCCGGGAAAACATAAATAGCCGGTGAATGGTGAGTGGTGAGTGGGGCGGCGGCCCAACGTGAATCTTCTTAAAGGCTCTTTGCGGAAAAATGGCAAGGAAAATGGGGGGGACTTTCCCCGTCTGGCGCCAGTTCCAGTTCTATATACTCCAGTACAAGTGTATTTACTCGGGGGCGTACTTCATGCTAATCCCTGTGCGTATTTACTCAACACATATTTCTCAAAACCTGATCAGCTTTGCCAGCACATCCTTATTAATTTGCCAACTTAATAACTCCCCGACTGCAATCGATTTATTTTCGGTTATCAGTGTAAGTCCTGCGTTGCCATGCAATTTCCTATTGCCTTCGCATTCAATGAAAATTTACTTGACATCTTCCCGGAAGGGAAAGGAAAAGGAAAACTCACCCACCCACGCAGACTACGTGCGTGGGGTAAATAAAAGTTTTCCTGTTTTCGTGCGCGCTCTCTCTGCTCCACACGACAGATGAACAATCTTGGAGTTTTTCCCCACTTTCCCGGTTCCCAGTTCCTAGTTCCCAGTTCCCAATTCACATTTCCCATTCCCGGCATCGGCAAGCATAAACAACCCCAAACCCCAGAGAGTCGGACCGAAAATACACAAAGCGGAAATGCGAACCGAAATCGAAACCAAAATCAGAACAGCTGTGGAAGGACAGCCGCGAAATTGGGTCAACAGTATATAGTGGTGTATATACACAACATTACTCCACCCCCTGAGTTTTCCTGAAAGGGGATGGGGGTGGGTGTCTCTCTCTTTGACTTTGTCCCTGTCCGTGCAACATGAAAACGTCACTTGCCGAGAGAGAGAGAGAGAGCCGCTGTTAACTGCCATGAAAAACTAGGCCAAAATGAGCGGCCAACTGGTAACAGCAAAAGAGAGGAAAACCAGGGGAAAGAGAGAGCCCTAAAGAGCGGACTGAAAGAGAGAGAGCGCATAAATGGGGTAGTAAGAGGGTACTGTTAACCGAAATTGGGTCAATGGAAGGCCAACATAATCCCACCGCCATACGAAAAATGGAGCGGAAGCATAAATTATTGACTCCACACTGACGAACGAAAATAGCACAATTTGCCTATATCTATATTCCACATATATCCACATCGACTTGGGAATGGGTATGGGGCATTTATGGCCCAGTAAAATGTGTGCCAAGCATTAGAGGCATCTGGCGTCTTTTCGCCTCTTGGCTAATAACACACAGCAGACATGAAAGGCTCGTTCCCTAATAGGGCTTAATACGCGAAGCCGGCAAACTCGAATTGCACTCACGGCGCCGTTTACATTTCGACGCCCTCAAAAGTAGGCAACGCAAATTATGTTTCTGCCCCGAGGGCAAAAGGGAAGCTTTTCTTTTTTTTTGCACACCATTAAATCCGCCCAAGTTCGTCATGGCAATTTCTGCAATTTGCATTGGGAGTACATATATCTCAGGGTATATACATATATATTTTGTATACCACTTGCCGCAAATCGAATTCGAAGCGCTTTGCATGTGAGCGGTTGATTTTAAAGTCTTATCGCCAAGTCTACAGGCAGCCAGAAAATTGGGTCACATCGGATAAGGGTGAGGCTTTCAACAAACTTTTCGTTGACTTTATCAACCTCATCGGCCCAGTAAATTTACTCGGGAAATGCTATTTTTGTAACGAGTTGCAGAGCAAATTGGTTTCTTTTTTCGGGTTTTCAGGGGTTGAATAGTTGTGTTTTGTAATTCGTATTTCGTATTTGATTTTCAACCTTTGAGCGGGGAATTTGAAAACTTGATTACATACTGCTGATGGCCTTGCCAATTTGTTGGGGCCCTTAATTTGATTGCGTTTAAATAAAAACACGCACATACGCATTCGAATTCGCTTTTTGCTTTCTGCAGACAGTGACGGAGTGGAGTGTCATAAATATATGAAAACTCAAACACACATGCATAACTGATGTGACAAACACACGCGAAATTGTCATTGCCGCTGGGAAATCGGCGGTTGGGGAAAAGTCAGGGGGAAAAGCTGGAAAAAAGGCTGACAACAACAATGACAACAGCAACGATGGAAGCTGAAATTGAGGTTGAGTGCTCACTCATTCAGCAAATATGACAATGGCGTTGATTTTGATATTTTGAGCGGGCAGACAGAAGCACAATAACCGCCTCGTTCTTGACATGGCCCAAACGGCTAGATATCGCGGCTCAAGGGTTGTGCACAGCCCACATAAGCACGCAGAAAAATTACTGTCATCATGGGAGACTAAATAAAAATTTAAAAATTTATGTTTGACACAGAAATATCTATTAAAAAGCTTTAAGAGCTTCGCCAATTTATTTAAATAACCATTAAAACGCAACCCCCATTTTCTCTCTGTGCAGATGCTGACACGTTTCGCGTGTAAAATTTATGCGAAAAGTTCGTGAACACTGAGGACGACTTTATGCTCACTTGAGGGGAAACATGTTGCCAAAAAAGTGAAACCAACTTGAATGTGTGTGGCTTAAATTTTTATGTTCGCCAAATTAGATCAAATGAAATGGCTCCAAGATGCACTGAAATGAGAAATTGCACTAGAGCCTGAGAGTATGCAACACTGGGTCCTTAAAGCCATAAATTCGTGGTCAATTTAGTGTGGCCTCTTGCAATTGATTTAGTTGCTGGACGTTACAGGAAGTGGAAATGCGAGTTAGTGTCGCTTTTTAGGAACCAACTTCTTCCCCATCTCGTTTCTCTATGCTATATGTATATGCGTGCTAGTGACGACAATATCCGGCCACGCTCAATTTACCACAACATAGCGCAGGACTACAGAGCTACAGGAATACAGGACACCCTCGGGGCATTAAAGTCCTTATCAGTGGAAACGCTCGAGTTACAAGCCCGGCGTTACGCGTCCTCGGGCCAACTTAATGGCCACCGCAGGCGATTCCGTTCAACCCCAAGAACCCCCAGCTTAAAGTTCCCCCTTCCCATTCCCTTTCCCAGCGAATTTCACCACCCGTTATCACTGTTCATTGTCACATCTCTCCAGCCAGAAAGGCAGACAGGCAAGGCACAATGGCCCACAGAATCCAATTATGACATAAAAATTTTCGTAAATTGTAAAATGTAAATTTTCACCCGTTGCAAAGGGATAGGGATTTTCACTTGTCCCGAAGATAAGCGGCCAGGACAAGGAAATTATTATTTGGCACACGTAAATTGTACAAGGGCTGCTAATAAAATGTGTGGCTGGCTGCATTTGCCGTTGACTTTTATTGCTGCGGTAATTGCCAAATGGAGCTTGAATGGGTTGCTGTTCCTGCCTCTTTTCCTCTATTCCTCCCAGAAACGGTCCTAATCAACACGGACTTTAACAAGATGTGTGGTTGCCATGTGGATGGTTTGGTCGGTTGGATAGTGGGAAATGGGGGCCCGAAAGACTGGACGTCAGTCCTAAAAAGTAATTGGCTTATGGGGGAAATGTCCAACTTTGTGACAGACAGGGATACCACACATATACCACACAGTTCGACTGTACCTTCATCAAGTAAAGCTCAATACGTGTTATAAAGGATACAGAGAAAGAAAAGTTATAAATTTGATAGATTTGAAATTTATCTTAATTGAAATTTATATCCTTTAGCTCATAAAATACATTTAAATATCCGTTTCTTCTTTTTAATCTCATATTTCCATATTAGTTTTATAAATTTTCCTTCCCTGTAATTGAACAATATTTATTGGGTTGAGCTAGGGGGCTCATCTGCTCATCTATTTTCATTTGGCCGAGTGGAAGCTGCGTTTGTCTCCGGCTTAAACTGTACTGCGATGGCTGACCCAGAAACAGAAACTCTTGGCCGGAATGCAGGCCCAGTAAGCCAGGGGTCCCAGTAACTGGGTCACAGAGCATCAGATATATATACACATATATATACAGTCAAAAGGGGGGGATTCACTTGCGCCTGGGTGACCTTGTGAAATTGCAATTGCCAGGCTGCCGAAACAAAAACGCCAACAACAATGACATCAAGGCCTGCCAGCGAGCATACATACATGGCAGTAACTGTACTTGGCGAAATTTATGTATGCTGCAGGGCAGGGGAAAATAGATGGAAAGCGAGGATGGAAATCCCTGCCATTTGCCATTCGAGTTGGGGATGCAGAACTAAACCAGGTCAAGCGTATTCGGCTTTATATACCCCACTGGAGATGCATGCACATCTCTTTTATATATATGGAGCACGTATATATGCGCCCCTAGCGATGTCACACTGTATCTGGGAATTTATGCTGCACTGCTTCAGTTTCAGTTTCAGTTTCTGCTTCAGTCCCAAAGATGTAAATTGCTAAATATCTCAATTTAAGCGGAGCATGAAGCTTTCTTTCCAATAGCTGGCTCATATTTCAGGCAGCTCGACCATTCGAAAACCATTCGAGTCTCCCGAGGCACATTTCAATTTGGCCCCGAAGGCAATCGCCTCGTAAACTGGCCCTCACAAAAAAGCCGAAAAGGGAAAACTTGATGCCTTTCGGGGGGCAGGAGGGGCACGTGCCGGAAAAATGTCCATCTAATAATTTTCCAGCAGAAGGAGGAAACTGACAGTGGAAAAAGAAGGCAGCAGAACACTCGAAATGACCAAAAAAAAAATAGAAAATACGAGTATAATCAACTTGCCGGGACCAAAAAAGCAGTTTTTGCCAGGCTTTTCGGGTTTCGGGGGTCCATCATTTCCCCAAGGGCAGCAGCAGATATCGGTTCACATTACTTTTCAGGTATTATGCGCCACTCAAAAGTTGTCTCTGTCGTTTAAGCAGAAAAAAGAGCGCTTTTTGAGCTAAATGTGGACGAAGGGAAGGCCTTGTGTGTGTTTAAAATGCCGTTTTAATATGGCCCAAAGGGGCGTTGCAGGGAGGGGCGGGGCCAAGAAAGTTGGTAAGCTGCTTATGGCCAGCAAATTAGACATGGCGGCAATCGGCTTTCGAGTGTCGCCGAAAGCGGAGGCAGATGGCGAATGGCAAATGGCGAACGGCAGATGTGTGTAGTGTGTGCAACATGTTGGAGTCCTAATCCCCGCTGAGGTAGGGCAGCAACTTATGCATTTGGGCCCCCAAAAATGGGTTAATACGGACTTAGGCAAATGCTGAAAGCTGCAAAGCTGCGCCAACTTGCTAGCAAAGTGCCGTTCCAAGTCCTTCGAATCGAATTGTGGACTTGGCACACTTTCTTCTTCCTGCTCCAGATGGTTGGGAAGCAATCAAATCGAAGGCTAAACTTTGGACCCCGGCGATTATTTATATATGTTCCAAAGTTTTGATTCAGTCGGGAAATTGTGCAAGACTCGCAAATCCAATTGCCAATTGCAGGTTGCATAAACAGCGACAGCAGCCGCAACAAAGTAGAAACCAAAGCCGAAACCCAAAACTCAACTTCAGACCCAGACAGAGAAAGAGACAGATAGCGAGGCAGAGACAGAGACAGCAACACCCGCAGGCAGGGTGAATTTCAATTTCCATTTCAATTTCAACTTCTCTTCCATTTCCATTTCCATTGCACTTGCAAATTGAACACGCACGCAGGCCAAGAAAATAAAACGAGAAAAATACAAAATGTAAGCGAATTTGAAAGCAATTTCTATTTCTATGTCCCAAAAAAAGAGAAGCGAACAAGGGGGAAAAACATAGAAAAACGCAGCATTAAACATAATTTTGTTTCCATTCCATTTTCTTTGCATATTTTATGCGGCATGCGGGGGCAACCCTTTTCAATTTGGGGCATGCAAGGATTTGAGTGCGGGATTTAAATATTCAATTTGCTGCACACACACTCTACACTCGTATAAGGACAGATGCTCCCAAACTCCGAAGAGTTCCGATAACCGACTGAATTTTTGGCTCCCACTTTTCGTGCGGAAAAAAAGTTGGCAAGTGTCAACGCTTTCTAATTGCATGTGATAACGGCAGCAGCTTTAAGCTGAAGTTTTCCTCTCGACTTTTCCCTTTGTTTTCGCCCAGAATCCGGGGTGACTTTTTAATTTCTTGCCTGACCCAATTCGGAAGACTTTTCATTATGCAGCAAGGACTCCGGCGAAAGTGTCGCCCTGCCTTCGGGGTTTTCCTTTCCTTTCGTTTGGCTTGAACTCAACTCCACCTCCTTTTTCACTTCGTCTGCGGCTGCCTCCAGCTTCCTGTTTAGATAAAATGCCAAATGCCGGAAGATTTTTAATTAGAATTCTCCTTCTTTCACCTCTTGAGTCTCGCACCCGCTCTTATCCTTTGCTATTGACTCGAACAATAACCCCAAACTAAAGTTTGGCTGGAAAAAAGAAGAGTAGAAGGAGAAAGAAAATATTGTTTGAGCAATTTGGCAGCTTAAATCATTTTAATAATTCTGACTGACTTAGCGGGGCTTTAATTGTGACCCGAGCTTAGCGTTTTCCCCCCTTCCTGGCGCCTGATTAATTTTGCTTTATCATCTTGGGCGGGGGTCTGTACCGAATACCCCATCGTCTTCGGTAATATAATACACGTTTCTTAATTAATTCAATTTGCTTGCGGTTGGCTTTCTGGATTCTCCCTCCGCCGCTGCTTTATTTTTGTTGCTCTGCGGCTTTCCGATGTTGAGCAATTGTAATCTGATATGCCAGCCAGCGGTTCGTGACCCCGAGGAGTCAACCGGAGTTGTCATAATTCGGCTTTGGGAGCAGCTGGGGCGAATCAAGTTCCCCCAAATAACATAGGGGTTGGTTAAAGCCCACGGGCGACCCCAATCTATCGGTCAAATGCAATTTATAGACCTCGCAATCGAACAGCGAAATTTAATTGAAATTCAACGCTGATAGATAGAATATCCGTCGAGCGGACGACGTGGCGAAACATTTGCATTGACAAGTTGACAACTGCTGGACATGGAAACCAGTGGAATGCAAATGGCCAGGCCGAAATAAACGGCCGGCAGCTGCTACTGCAGCCCCAGTCGAAACAATTGACAGGGAAAGTGAATGAAAATGGAGGGGGAGCCTGGAAATTTTCATAAATTTTCCTTGCCCGAAAGGCAGTGCCGAAATTTCCGCATTTTTCCAGCTGTCCAGCGAGTCCACTCCTGCTGATGTAATGGCCAGGGCACACAGTTCGCATGAATAACTTTCGTAATGACCGGGGACAGGCCGAATGGCAACCTGCACTCCAGCTCCAACTCCACTCCAGAGCTAACTGGCTGGACACTCAAAAAGTCTGGCCCTGCAGACGCGGCGTATACGCGATGTGCACAAAAGGCGCTTAAATTGCCTTTTTGGCTTCGCTCAATGGGTCGATTTTCGTTCGTTAACCGTTCAATGGTTTTTTTTTTACGGCAAACTTTGTAAACCTCTCTCTCTGTGCATTTATACGAACAATTTTTGTATTTTTTAGCCGGGCCAAAAGTGTTTCTCGCTTTTTGTTTCTGCTATTGCAGCCACGGGCATTAAATGTTTGACTGCTCGAAAGCGGTTTAAAAGTTAACTTACAGTTTGGTTGGTTTTCGGTGTAAAAGACTTCATGGCACTCACCTAAAAAGAGAGACGAAAGGAATAAAATTAATTAGAGTTTGTACCGAAACTTTTAGCCATGTAAAATCAAATCAATATGTGTGTCTAAAGGAAAAACCCTATAAATGTGACAGGTTCCAGGTATTCCGGGCTTCCACTCCCCGCTGTTTTGGTTTGTATTTTCCGGTGGGGTTTTTTCGCTGGCATTGAACGCCGGCCAGGGAAAAATGTCAAAAACTGGCACGAGCCAGGCCAAAGCCAACCCATCACCACCCATCCGCATTCGCATGTGGCAAGGACAGAGGAGCTAGGGAGATAGCCTCGTGTTCCCATTTCCAAGTTTACCATGTCGGGGTCAAATTGTTAGCCGACTTTCGTGAGCAAACAAATTGAGGCTTCCACTGCGGATTGCCCGAATATGCAATGCATTTTCCTTCCGATTCCTATCGCCCGCAGTTTTTCTCTTTTTTCCCTGGCATTTTCATGTTGGCCAGCCGTTGATTAACGATAAGTGCGAGGCATTGACATGATTTCACGAACTGCCGACTACTGGCAGTTCCTAATTGCCCGTGTTAACTGCGGCTAATTACTGGCCTTTTGCAGGAGTTGCTTTTCCCCGGGCGAGATTGCATGGGAAGTCGCCTTTCTGGGAAATCGGCCGGGCTTTAATTGAGAGCGCCTAAAAAACAACAGCAGCGGCTAATGCATGACTAAGATGCCGGGTCCAAGTTATAAATTTAGTTAATTGAATGACTGGCGGAGATGGCGGGCAAAAACAATTACAAGTGCAGTGCGCGTCAGCCATTTGTCATGCATGCGCCGCCATTAATCAAAAGTTGAATAACCGGCAAAAACCCCTTTCTATGCCTCCCCTTTCCACCCACCGATCCACCTTGGTGAGCCGAAAAAATAAAGGCTTGCGATAAAATCAGCTCGCTACTTTAGCCAATCGTAATTGTTATTAAAGATGCTCGTGGCCCGACTGAAAATGAACCGAAATTACTCATCATTAGTCGGAGGTGAGTGGGCAGTCGCCCACGGAAAAAGCGTTGCATACGCACGGGCGTTGGCCAGTGATGGATTGCCTTAACCTCCATTGCCTTTGCCTTTGCCCCGGCTGAGATAATTGACCTCTAAATATACTTGGGCGGCCGCCCTCAGCGGGGTCAGCGCCGCAAAGTAGGCTAAAAATATGGCACACAGCACGGGGCCGCCAAAAAAAGAAAAGGACGAGAACTTGGGGGTCCAACAACCTCGATTCGCGAGTGCCATTGACACTGGGCCAAGGAGGCTGAGGCCCAGAGACCCAGCTGCCCTGCTGAGCCAGTCGGCCAAAACAAAAATAATAAGAGATACACACAGGAGGAAAGACAAGGAGGACCAAAGTCATTGAACGAGTCCGGCTCACGCACTTTTCAGGATCCTAAAATAAGAAGCTGGGAAGGTAGTCGACTCATTGGTTACTTGGTAAGGGAACACCTTATTACTAGGCTTAAGAAATGGAAAACCTTTAACCTAAAGAGCTTTTAAAGTGATATTTTGTAGTACCTTTAACAATGTTTGATTTTTAAATGTAGTAAGTCTTAAAGTATGGATTGAAAATATTCTTAATTACAAAATAATAAATTCTTCTTTATAAAAACATTTTTTTTTAAATCTGAATCTGAATAATATTGAAAATAAATGAATGATTTAGTAATCGGTATTTGCAGGTCGTGGCTTTAATTCGGAGTCTGCCAACCGCATTTTCCTTTTGTTTTTCTTCTCTCCAGCAAGTTTTTGCCTGTGCTCTCGATTATCCCTCCTAACCCCATTTGGAATTCCCCCGCCCCACCTGGTTTTATGGCCCAAAGGCAGACGAAGGCAGCAAGGTGCGTAAGCGTCTAGGATTCGGGACCTGCGTGCTAGTGGCTCGTTTCAAGGATTCCTATCCCTCCGCCGGCCGAGTTGCCTGGGGCAACTTTTATTGTGTCATTGGCACGCATCGAGGGCAAAAAGTTAAATCTTAAATCATAAAAAGCACCGCAGGCAGGCTGGGCCAAAAAACATTAACACCGATGGGAGGAAGAGTGGGTTGAAAAAAGGATTTGGCTGTTTATTGTTTTTATTTAGGCAAGTTTAAGTTTTGCCTCAAAACTCACAGGGCTTAGTTTCGGCTGGCGGCGCTATAAACATCAAACATTTCATGGCTGCGGCTGAGTAATTCCCTTATCTGACTGCCACTAATTGCTGCCACCGATAAAAGTGAAACTGGCGGGGTCGTGTCCTTGCCACGCTCGTAAATTCACCCACCACCCAACGCCCACTTGCCACCCACCACCCACTTGGCCACCCAAGTTGAATAAACCCGATGAGTTTTCAACAGAATCACGCATTATTTGTGTCTGAGTATCTGTGTGTGCGAGTGAGTGTGCTTTTTGAGTGTGCGCCTGTTTTTTGTGTTTTGTCAAATACGTCTAGACATCGAAGGTCATTTGCAGCTAACGGTTTGGGTTCCAGTAAAAAAAAAATAAAAACAAAAACAGTATCGAATTAGAAGAAGAAGCACGTATCAGCAATGACCTCTATAAGGAAATTCCTCGGGTTCCGATTTCATTCCATTCTATGCCATTTGCCTTGCAAATTGCCAGTTTTGTGTCATTTGATTTGATTTGTTTCTGTCCCATTTCGTTCAGTTCAATTTTTTGTTGTTACTCTATAGTCCATACTATATACTATGGAATACGAATACTATATGTTTTATTGGCTTGTTGTTGTTTTGGCATTTGCAGCCGTGTTTGTCGGTCAGTCGAGTCAAGTGAACTCTGGGCAACGTCTGCTGCAAAAACGTGACTAACAAGCGGCTCGTAAATAATCTTTAACCGCTTGCCGCCGATCGTCACTCTCTTTCGCACACATCTCTCCCTATCTCTCTCTTTCTCTGTCCAGCACTTGCAAAATTTCGCATTTTAATTGCAGTTTTTGCCTAAGCGAGTCAATGAAACCTTGTCAACAGATTAAACACACATAAATGGGGGTTTTTGGGGGTATCGGGAGGTTAGGCAGGGTTCAGAAAAAGACAGGAATATGCCGAGTGAAAGAGACAGCAGTAGGGTGGATGAAAGAGACAGGCGCCGCGATCGCCGCACGTTTCACTCTCAGTTCGTAGCGAATCGCTTTGTTTTATTTTTGCCGCTGTTTGTTTTGTTTTAAATTAAATTTCTTTCGGACGCCAGGTGCATTGACTCTTCGCTTTGTGATTTGAATGCTTATAATTTAATTAAACTAAATTTAATTTGCATGTTAACGCAGTTAATTGTAGTGTAAACTGCACATGTGTCCAGTGCATTGAACCTGCTGTGATTTGTTTTTTCTTTCGTCTGGCCGCAGTTCATTCTGGATGAGCTTATCGACGTTCGTCTGGCGAGAGGCGACTCCTAAGTCTAAGTAGCGATTTCCACACTCGACTGGGCGAAAAGTGCCGAAACGACCTTGATGACAATGAACTCGCCCCACCCCAAACAGCCATTTCCACTTCCATTCAGCATTTCCATTCAACAACAAGGTATAAATATAAACATTCTGTCATACGACAGTGCGAGTTTCTCGGTGCATATAAAAACATCTACTTTATGGCATGCCACTGATAAGACAGTCCCCAAACAATTTGCATCGTAAAGCGAAGAGCAAGTATAACTATTGCGATTGTTTACCGCTGCCAAGAAGTCTGCCAAAGGTCTTCCGCCCCTGCGATTCCATACGTACAATGTATTTACTATATGACGACCAGCTCTATATAATCGGGTTTGCGATAAGTTTCTTTGTTTGATTGGCTTCGCTTTTGTCAATTTCGAAGATATTGCATGTGATTTACTGGGGATTTGTTGGCTTACTTTCAATTCCGGCGTTTCGAAGCACAAAAGGCAGAAATGCCGGTGCAGAAACGCAGTTTTTCCCGAACCCAAGGTCAAAATCAGATAAGAGCGCAGTAAACTTCGCTCCATTCGTTCTTATCAATGCCAATCGTACGTATTTTGGCGGTTCAATGTCTGATTAGGTAAACTTGAAATTCTTGCCAGATATAGAAATGAAGATATATGTATGGCTGATTGCAGGTACTCCTCCGTACATATATATTATTAAAATTAATCGATTGACAAGCAGAGTATCATGAAACGGAAAACACAAACTAACGAAAAAATAAAGGGAAAATCGGAGAAAAGCAAATAGAAAGTCCTCCTCCTTCTGGCAGGCATGTCAGTTAATAACAGCGTACAAATTGTGGCAGATGACAACAGCAGGAGGTTAGGTGGAAATGATTGCTGCAACGGGCGCGAGTACTAGAATACTAGACTACGAGTACGAATACGAATATAAATGCATGGAGGCGACTCGGCACCCTGGCACCTGGCTCCTATTACATGCGCACTGCATTATTACAAAAGGCTACATCCAGCAAAACACAAAAACGAAAAAAAGAAAGAAAAAAGACGGGGAAAAAAACAGAAATTGCAAATAAAAGGTAATATTAAAAGCGGCAATTTTCCGCGGCAACAGCAACAGTAACAATTGCTGCGGGGCACCAAACCCAAACCCAAACTCAAACTCCAACCCATGGAAAAGTTGCCTTCGTTTTGCGTGCCATATGCGAGTTGGAAAGGATTTCCGGTTTTGTGCCGTGGCCTTTTGTAAATTGTTTTGTTATGAAAATGCAGCGAGCGTCGATCTCAGCTAATGGCCGGCTCAATATATTATTTAATATGCAGCGGTAATGGCCATGTTTTATTTAAGCTCCCTCCACAGGTTCTTTTTTAGTGGGTGGGCTTGCATAGGAAAAATAAAAGCAGGAAAAAAGACGGGGACGCCTGGGGATCAGGACCCTATAAGTTGTCCTGGAAACCAAAAGGTTGCAAAATGCAATATGTCAAGGCGTTGGGATTGAGGAAGCAGAAGAGCCGGCTTAGGTAAACAATGGTATTCCATGGCAGACTTTTCGTTTTCCATTGGCCCCTTGGTGTATGCTTTGCGATTCCGATTCATAC